TACGATTTGTCTCTGGAAATGGATTAAATTCGTAAGTCGAGACCCCATTGTATATTATATGAGAATACAGAAAAGCAGTGGTGCAAGGACTGTGCCTTGAAGTACAGAGATTTTTACTGGACTTGACTCAATTTTGTTTCACTGACTGACTTCTTGCATTCCGTTTGAAAGGAAATTGAATATCCAGCCCTACATTACCTGTTATTCCTATTGACCTCATTTTATGGGTTATCACTCCATGGTCACATTTATCAAGTGCCTTTACAAAGTCTGTGTATTGTGACGTATTATGTGACAGCGCAGTAACTGTCCTGGCGAAGGTTTTGTCAAACAGACATTAATATAAAAAAAAGAAAAAAGAAAACGGAGTAAAATAAATCCGCTGGAACTTTTACGGTGTGCAAGCTGCGGGTAAAGAACAATAGAATAAACACTTTAAAATATTTAATATAACAAAGCTTAACAAACATTTACTTTACTTCTTACAAAAATTAATACTAAACAATTAAAAAAAAATTCTTGACCACTTGGCTTAAACACAATCATAAGAAAAATATACACATGTGAATTTACGTTAATAATAAAGGTGAAAGTAATACTTGTACAAAAATACTCTGAGCATCTACTGTCACCCGTAGGCGAGGATAGATGCAGAAGCATTGAGCACTAGAAGGGTAATCTGCTGTGTTGGATGTTGGCAAGTCCTTATATTCGGGTTGTGACGACATACTGGTCCGAATTTTGGTTTTGAAACAAGGAACCGGCAGCATAATGGTAGTTTGCTGGTGGCGTCTGGGGAACTGGCGAGACTGCAGGTGCGCGGCTCTTGTAGAAGGTAGGGTGGAGGGGGGGGGGTAGTTTCTAGACAATACATTTTGGCACATATTGTTGCTGTTTCTTGATGATGAGTCTTGATGTTGGAGCATGTTGGTATTGAGGTTGTAAGAAGCAGGCAGAATCTACTGTTATGCAGGAGATTAATCATAACAGTTTACCACATTGGTATTCTATTTATCTTCTAATGCATCAGGGATTTTGTCTTGATCGTGGAGTAACTGCAAACGGCACGATCTTCCCTCTCTAAATCCATGATGGCCTGGGATATGGTGGTCATTGGTTTCCACAAAACGGGAGATCTGACTCGTGATTACTCCTGATGACTCCTGGTGTGTTGGGCTAAGACTTGGTGGTATCAGAGATAGGCTCGAAGGTCTTCTGAGCTCTTCGAGAAGAGTACCAGAAAAGAGCAGTTCATTACATTCAACTCTTGGCTTTTCCTCTGAAACTGTAAGCTTGTAAGACACTTCATTGTTCCCCCTCTTCAGAACCAATATGGAAAGTTTCACACTGTATTTGACCTGTTTTTCTGGTCACCACATGTCTGTCTCAATAGATTCTTCAGATGGCAAGAAATCTTCCCTAACAGTTAATTGATGCAGAGGGTCGGGAGTGCGGGGGTTCTGGGTGCGGGTGTAAGTTCTTATGTTGTTTTGTTTTGTTTTTTGCCTTAGAGTGAAAAAATATGGGAATGTGTGTTATGTTTGTTAACTAAATGAGCTTATATTTTGACACAAGTTTTATGCATTTAGAGTACAGTACTGTAACAAATTGGCCAGTAATGTCAATACCTTAATTCATGATACAAATATCAGATATTTTATTTAAGCTAACAAAACATCTAAAATGCATTCCTATATGTAATACAATAAGCCACTTTGAAAGGCATGCTTCCAGATTTAACTTATGTTAATAAACAATTAAAAGTAATGCTGTTAAATATATTCAAGATGGCTAATTGTTTTTAAAGTGCCTGACTGACTTAAGTATAATGTATGAAAAGCATAAACATGAATTAGCATAAATTATTTCATCACTGTGGTGACAGTATACTGTATAATAACAGAGGATCAAGCTTTTGTGACTATTTTAATTTTAGATGAGTCATGGGCATGAGATTAGGAATTAAGTAAAATTGTCATTCTTGAAATTAATTTTCAAGCGACTCTAATTGTGCACCAAAGGTAAGAAGGGGGCAGCTGAGCACATACTCCTCATTTCTCCAGGGGAATGAGTGAGAGAAGAATGATACAGTATGTGATGTAAGGGGCAAAATGAAAGGAATATACATTAGTATGAGAGTTAAGAGAGGACTGAGATAATATGCTTCTCCCAGCCCTTAGATAAGGAAGTAAAACTTGGGAATGGAAAAGGGCAGGATACTAATGCAGTCAGTTTTTTTTTATTAAAATAGTTGTGTAGGTATGTAGTATTTGTATTGTAAAGAAATGCACAGAAGGTAAGAAATGTGGTATGAGTGAAAGGGGTAAAGGAATGAAATTTGGAATTGTGGCATGTGCTAAGTGCAATACAGTTAAGGGGTAAGGACATCTCAATTGGATGCCAAGATTTGTTGATGGTAATGGTGTACAAGGGTGAAATGATGGCAGACGACTCTAATCCTAAGAGGAGAAAGTGTGGAACTAAATATTTAAGAAAGGGTGAGAGGAGAAGTAGAGTGCATTAAAGGGAAAAGTTTATGCATTGATAAAACCTCCAGGAGAAACATCTGTTGTGGTGTCTTTCTGATAAGAAATCGTCTGGGAAGGAACAAGGCATCAGTGCTGTAGATAAAACACCTTAGAAGATGTGAAAGTATGAGCGGTTTTATGGTGCCCATCTCTCAAGATGCATATCACAGAACTATAAAAGGTGCAGACATATAACTAAATGGCTTCCGGAACAAGAGCTAGAAGATACAAGAGAGAGAGATGATATGATCACAACATACAGAATAATAACAGGACTTGACAAAATTGAGAAAGAATCATTTTTTAAAACTGCAACTTAAAGAACAAGAGGACATAGGTTCAAACTAGGGAAACAAACCTGCTAATAAAACATTAGAAAGTTTACTTTTGCAAGCAAGAATGGTAAACAGTTGGAACAAATTAAGTGAGAAGGTGGTGGAGGCCAACACTGTCAGTATTTTCAAAGCATTATAACAAAAAGTTCTGGGAAGACAGGACACTATGAGCAACTACACAAAGGTAATTACACTTCAATAATTATATCTTGAGGTTATCTTGAGATGATTTCGGGGCTTTTAGTGTCCCCGCGGCCCGGTCCTCGACCAGGCCTCCACCCCCAGGAAGCAGCCCGTGACAGCTGACTAACACCCAAGTACCTATTTACTGCTAGGTAACAGGGGCATTCAGGGTGAAAGAAACTTTGCCCATTTGTTTCTGCCTCGTGCGGGAATCGAACCCTCGCCACAGAATTATGAGTCCTGCGCGCTATCCACCAGGCTACACACCTTTAACCACCCCCACCTCAACAGTCCCAATATACAAAACAAGTGACAGGTAAAGAGGCACTGAATCACAGGTCAGTATCCCTAACTTGTATACCATGCAAGGTGATGGAGATTGTGAGAAAATCTAGTAGCACAACTGGAGAGAAAGAACTTTGTAACCACTAACGTGGGTTCAGAGATGGCAAATGATGCCTCACAAATTTAGTAGAATTCTATCACCAGGTGACAAAAATTAAGCAAGAAAGAGAAGGGTGGACAGACTTGTATTTTCTTAACCGACATCTTAATGATAGGGTACTGTGTTACAGCCTTTGACACAATACCCCATAAGAGGCTGGTGCTTAAGTTGGAGAAACAGGTAAGGTGCTCCACTGGTTAAGGGAGTAGCTAAACAACAGAAAACAGGGTTACTGTGAGGGGGCGAGATCTCAGAATGGCGAGATAGTATCAGCAGAGTCCCACAGGGTCGAGGGGCCTGACAGCAGAGTGGACAGCTCTTCAAATTCATATTCCTGAGGTTCCGGGTTTGATCCCTGGTGGAGGCAGAAACAAGTGGGCAGAGTTTCTTTCACCCTGATGCCCCTGTTTTGTAGCAGTAAATAGGTCCCTGAGAGTTACAGCTGCTACAGGCTGCTTCCTGGGAGTATGTAACAAAAAGGAGGCCTGGTCGAGGACCGGACTACAGGGACGCTAAGCCTCGAAATCATCTAAAGTATCCTCAAGAAGGAGGGTTTTGTATTGAGACCTTTCCTGTTTCTGATATACTGTACTTAAATGATCTTCCAGAGGGTATAGATTCATTCTTCTCATTTTGCTGATGATTCTAAAATTATGAGAAGGATTAAAACAGAAGGACAGCAAGAGACTACAAGAGGACCTTTACAAACTGAATGGATGATCCAGCAAATGGCTATCAGAATTTAACTTAAGTGAAAGTACTGAAAATAGATGTAAGGAGCAGGAGGCTGTATAAAAGGTACCATTTGAGAGATGAAATTGTTCAAAAATTAGGAAGAGAGAAAGATCTGGGGATTCATATCATGCTGGACCTGTCCCCTGAAGCCCACATCAAAAGGATAGCAGCAGCAGCAGCATGTGCTGGGTTGGTCAACATATGCACTACTTTCAGAAATTTGTGTAAGGAATCATTCAGAACTTTGTTCACCACATATGTCAGACCAATCCTGGAGTATGGAGCTCTGTATGCTGCACACAGATATGAGCTATAAGAAAAAACTACTGGAATTAAACATCAAATCACTAGAAGACAGAAGAGGGGAGACATGATTATCATGTCTCATGGGAATTGACAGGGTAGATAAAGACAAACTATTTAGCATGGGGTGGTACACAAACAAGGGGACATGGGTAGAAAATTAGTACCCAGATGAGCCACAGAGATGTTTGAAAGAATTTTTTTCAGTGTCAGTAATTAGCAAATGGAATGCACAAGAAAATGATGTGGAGGCAGACGTCATACACAGTTTTGCGTGAAGATATGATGGAGTCAATAGACTCGGGGATAATTTTAATTTATAAATAGATCATTTTAATTTATTTTAAATTAGTAATTCACATTTTAATTTATATTGTTATGACTGACAATAGTCAGTAGATCTTTGGCTTAGGTATAACCTTTAGGTGTTAATATAACTTATTAATTAATATAACATTTTCCTTACTGCAGGTCAGCCACCATCTGTGGGATGTGGGAACGTTGGCTTACGAGGCAACTCCCTTCGTCCTCCATTGCTATCTACTCTTATGCGTCATCAATCTTCTGGTGAAAGTGCCACAGATACATCCACCACTATTAATCCTCAGTCATCCAGTGATAGTGATAAACATCCATCCAGCCTTGACCCACAGTCATCTTATGATAGTGTCAGTGATTACCCAACATCTGAAGCAGATGATGTACCGTGTAATGTCTACAACTTTTACCCAAGAGGATGGGCCGTTTCAGGGACTCAGATAATATCAGGTCAACCATTATCAGTAAGAGGAGTGCTGACCCAGTTGGAAGGAAAACAGCAAAGAAAACCTTGTTCAATTGTTACCAATCCAATGGAAGATTTGTGGCAGGAAGCTGAGGATGCCCAGAAAACTCTAGATGATAGTTGCACCAATGAACAAAGTATTCTTTGTACCAATGGACCTTCTCAGAGCCTTGAAGGAAGAAGCACTTTACCAAGGGCCAAGAAAATTGGGAGAGGCTGTACATACCCATACAGATGTCTTCAAGGAAGTGTACTTTGTAAAAGATTAGAACAAGCAGAACCTGGTAGAAAGGAAAGAGAAATTGTTAAAGAAGCGGCTGAATATTATCAAAGAGCATTGAACAGTGCTCAAGAGCGAAAAGAATGGGCTAAGAAAAGTATGAGTTCGGCAAGTGATGAAGATACTCCTCTGAATGAATATTCTTTTTCAGGCATTCAAAATGAGGCAGTTGTCACTCATGAGCCCAAAAAATATCCAGTCAGAATCAAAAGTGATGCAGACCTGAGTAGAGCCACTAGTATCATCAAAGACAATCTTGCTAATATTGTTCAGAGATATCTTGTTAAATCTAAAAACACTCCAGGTTGTCAATATTTCCATCCCAAAGTTTCTTCAGAAAATCCAACTCTCAAGCTGTTGTCTGTTGGTGATGAACCACAGCACTTTGTAGATGAGCCTAGTTGGATGCAAGACCCAGATAGCTACTCTGCCTCAGCGCAAGCAATACGGGATGGTCGCCGTGTTGGTATAACTGTGGTGAAGACTGAGGTAACTGGAGCTGAACTCCTGAGAAACATTGAGCAATATGACCCAACCATTGCAATGGATAATACATACCAGGTTGATGATCATAAATATGTAAGTAGCAGAAATGAAGACAAAATTTTTGTAGGTAAACAAAATATAAATAAAACTGAACTACGTGTTGAAAGCCATGATGAACTAATGTCAAGTGATAAGTTAAAACTCAAAGTCTTGCCTGCTTTAACTAATCAGTGCCCCACAAAAAGAATTGAATCGAATCCAAAGATATGGATAAGCAGTGATAAAAAATTAAAAAATATATGTGCAGCAAACTGTAAGCAGCCAGTCAGATCATCAGGAAGGAGTGAGAAGAAGTTGGTAAAGAGTGATGAAATTGTTGCCCCGACAATAAAGCGAGAAAGTCGTATAGATATTCCTTTCACCACTGAGGATGAATCAAAGAGTATTACCCTCTGTGATCAGGAAAAAGTTAAAGCTACTACAATAAGACAAGCTACGAATTTACACACCAATAAAACACCTGATAAAGTTTTTGCTTCTCATAGGATGCAGGTCATTAACACTGATCTGAAAAAAGCTGATGAAACACCCACTGAAATACCTATAAACGTGCCAACAGTTGAAGGTGACAAATGTTTTAATAAAGATTGTGAGAAGAGTGATGACAAATTTAGAGAAAATATGAATCAAATTCCAGACAAATTTGCAGGAGAAATTGCAGACATAACAGGGACATGTGAGAGGATTCCAAGTGAAATTATTATTCATTCACCAGATACAATAAGTGAAGAGAAATCTAATTCACTCATTATAAAGACTGAGAGAACACTTGAAATGGTTCAGGAAAAGCAAGAGAATAATGCTAGCAAAGTTGTCATGACTGCAGAAATGTTTTTGGGCACAGAGAGAGAGGTGCAAATTGAGGAAAAAGTTAAGGATTTCGATCAATCTCTTAAAGTGAAGGAAACTTCTATTGGTGAGCCAGCAATGGAAAGTATCAGCTATGTGGACAAAACATCTGATAAAATTGACAGTCATGCTGATTCAGTAATGCTCCAGAAGGAAATTTATTCTTTATCAGGAGCAACCATTGAACCTAATCCTATTACAACCATTGATGATAATTATGTTGTGGCTTCACAGAGTGCTGACTTGTGCATTGAGTCTTCCATGGGTGTAGATCAGACGTTTACCGATATTCCTATTATTTTGGGTGTGATGCTTAGCAGTAATCACTTACAAGAGAGTGAAATATGTGATAAATCAAATCACTTGATTACTCTGGAAAATGAGGATGTAGCTATGCTTGAAAGTTCTGAAGTGGGTGAGGAAGCATCAGATACAGATAATGATACATCAACAATGAAATTAACACAGAGACCAAAATGCTTAAAGGACATTCACAAACTCAATACGAAGTCAAGCACAGCCAGTGAGAGCTCATTTGAATCTTTGCCATACAGAATGCTCACTTCCCAGCCAGACAGTCTTTCAGAAGACATAGCAATAGAACTAACTCGAGCCCCCCCCGACTCGGAGAAACTGAAAGCTGCTAGACTAGAATTAATCAGGCAGGAGCGTATCAATGCCATCTCCCTTCATAGTATGTCCCTCATAGAGTTAAAAGATGATTATAGATGCAAATCTGTCTCACCTGAGGAGGAGTTCAAGGCTGACAGTTCAGACATTTTTGGAGATATTTCAAAATCAAAGAGCACATTAGTAGATCCAAAGTTAGAAGCATCCCCTATGTACAATGAAGGACAACAAGAAATGGATTGTAGCTCAATGTTTGATTCAGGTGTGGAGGTGTTGATGCATGAACAAATGAGCAGTGTTGCATCATCTCTTATAAAGTCATTTCCCAGTCCTGTTGAGTCTGTTCCTGAATCAGGTTTCTCTAGTCTTAAAGAACCTTTGGCCTATGAAGGCACAACTGAAGATGGTGGATTTGAAAATCATAGAGGAGTCTCTTTCAGCAAATCAAAAGACAGTCTTGATCTTACTGACACTGATCGTTTCCCTGGAACTGACACACTCTCAGATGATATGGAAACTTTTTCTCTGAGTGCTGGAGATGCAACCCTTGTGGAAAGTGGACCCGTTTCTACAGAAGGATCAGCAAGGGGAAGTATCTCGGATTCATTACATCAGGATAATAGCCTGCTGAAAGTTTATCCAAATGAACCCTCTACTTTGTATCTCGACTCTGTGGGTATTCCCATTACCTTTATAGAGGATTCTTCTCATTATAATTTCTGTGAAATACATAATAAGCATTTATTTACCCCTAAATTATCTTGCTCTTTAGATTCTACGTCTTCAAAGAGTCTGCTTGAACAATTTTGTGAAGAGTGTGAATCACAAGAAGTTGAATACAGTTGCAAAGAAGTACTGGAGGTGTTGCCAGATATTCCAGAATCAAATCATATAGTGAGGCTGGCTGAGAAAGCTGTCAAGTGTGTGCCTGAGGATGGGAATGGATTGAACATTAAAACCAGTGAATCTCTCTCCTCGGAAGATACAGTTGTATCAAGGATGTCATTTGAAGATCGTGGTGCAAAATTTCTTTCTCAAGAGTCACTGGAAGAGCCAATAGAGGTTTCAGAACCTCTTAAAATCTCACCTAATGATGTGAAAGATGAGAAAATTAAAGACTTAATTGATGTTACAGTTAATGTAGTAAATGAAAATGTTAGAGAGAGTGTTGATTCTGTTGCTGAAATTTCAATAAATACTTTAGATGGAGTTAATAAAGTGCCAGATTCTCATGGTTTAACAACAATAATCCCAAAAGGTCAACATACAGAAAGTCTTCCAGAAGTATTAAGTGTATGTAAAAGTGAGAAATATTTAAAACAAGTTGATGCCAAACTGGGTGTAGTTAAGGAACAAGTCACTAACTCAAAAGGAGATCAAGTGTCTGAATTAAATGTGCCTTTTATTGTTAAGGAAACTAACTTAGATGAGGACAGTAAAAGTCTAACTGTCATAGAACAGAATGAAATTAAGGCAACATGCGAAGTAGCAAATGAATTCCCTAATGTTGGAGAATATAGTGAAACTGGATCTTTGCAAAATAATATAGAACTCCATTTATCTATTGCAGATAAACTAAAATTGCTAAATGATTCTGAGCTTGTTGATCCATCAATAAAAGAAGACTCATATGCTGCACTTGATACCAAGTATCCAGATCAAGTAATTGAAAACATTTCCCATCAGTCAGAAAAATCTAACGAGATGGAGCTGAACTCTATTGCAAGCTCTGTAGTTATAACACAAAGCAAAGAAATAAAGAAAGAGGATAAGGCAATTTGTAACAGCGATGTAATTGTTTCAGTGACTTCAGACACCTCCAGGAAGAGTGATGTTAGTGAAAAATCAAGTCCAAATGCTAATGAGACTTGCAGTACTGGCACTTCAGACAGACCAAGCAGACACTCCAGCAAAAGTGGAATTTCAGACCTTGAGGACGAAGTCTTCTTACCACCAAAAGAAAACTATATATTTGATGGTAGACCTGTGATTTATTGCCCAAAAATTGATATGGCAAATCAGATTGGAATTTCCCCTCCAAAAGTAGCTATGAGTGTATTTGCAGTTGTTCCTTCCAAGCATGTAAGTGTTGATAAAGGAGCGGAATGGATTGCAGCTAACAAGGATGACTTTCCTAAGTTTCCTAGTTATCCAGTGCTTCCAGAACCAGCGAGAAATCTAAACATGGAAGAGAAGGAAATTACTGACAAGTCAGTAACACAGTCATTGGATATTATTTCTTTAGCAACATCTGAACCAGCTCCTAAGGATTACTCTACTAATATTAGCAGTGAAGTGCATTTTGTAAAAGAGGACATGGAACCATGCACAACATCAGTTAATGTGCTGAACATAATCAATGGAACATACAAACAAGGCTTACATGGATGCACAAAACAAGCAGTTGGTGATAAAGTGGCCATTATAAATGACAGCTCTGAAGAGTATATCTTGAAAATAAAAAATGAAGATACCATTGCATGCACAGAAATTTTGAATGATAATAAAAATTTGGCTGCTGCAGAACTGCAGCAGCCCAACAACATGGTTAAGGGATGTCCTGAAAACATTGTACAAAAGGAGTTTCAGAACACTAATGCTAAGTTGACAAGACATACGTCCATCTCTTCACCTACTGTAACAAAGGAATCAATGAGAAAGGGAGGGCATCAATCCCATTCCTTGGATAAAGTAATTGATGCTGAGTGTATTCCAAGAAGGGACATAAAATTCATAGTTGATGAAGAGAAAAATTACAAATATTTACATGAGAATAAATCTGAATTTAAAAGAGAAGAAATTTCCTCCACAGGGAGTTTATTAGTGGATGATGGCTCGTCGAGTTCTCGTGATCAAATTAACAAATTTAATATTTGCCAGTTATCTGAGGATAGAGCACTTGGTGCCGAACATGAAGTTGGATATCCAGGTACTCTCCCGCTTAAGGAAATGGGCGAACATGTTAAACCTAAGCTGCTGCGCATGTCCAATCTGGAGAGAACGGACACCACTGCATCACCTACTCATTGTATGTCTCGTAAAGTGTCTGAAAATTCAGACAGTACACCCCAAGAATCTCCTGTGCTATCACCTGTTGTGACTCATGATAAAATGAAAGTTCCATTTTCATTTACATGTTTACCTGTGGATGCATATTCTTCATCAAGCCCTGTGTCTAGGGAGGCAACTGATGAAGAAAATTCAGTGATTGAAAATAAAATAGACATAGATTTAAAATTAAGTACAAAGAAATTTGATGAGGAAACAAACTCTAATGCAAAGATGTCAGAAAATTCAGTTGAAAACATTTTGTCCAAGACTGATGAATTTGCACCTCAAGACAGTTTGTCTTCAGAGGAAAATGGAATAGTGCGAAGGGAAAGTCAAGATGAAGAAATAACAAAGGAAGTCTTTATGGGCTCTGAACCAGAGTTAAAGAAATATGGTAGTGAAGAGTCTTCATTACTAACACTTGATAGTCATGGGTCATCAACTTCAAAGGGCTACCTTGAGCCAGATCTAAGGTCTGTTAGCTCCAGCTGGGGTGCAAGTGGGTCATTAGAGTGCCTTGATAGGGACAAAAGTGAGAAAGGGTCTCAGTCTCGCAGGCATGGATCAATAACCACTGCAAAGTCAGAAGAGCTTGGTATGAAATGTGATCAAGTAAGTTTAAAGTCACAGGGGTCTTTAGACAAATTTCCTCACTTTGATCAAGTCACCTCCCAACAAAAAGCAAGGGGAGCACGTAAGAAAATTTTGTCTGTTGATATTGAAAAGAAAGAAAAGAAAGATTTGAATAAAGAGATGCATAGGAGTGTCACTCTTCCTGCAGGATCAATGGTTCCAAGTAAAAAAGATGATAAGAAGAAAGAAAAGGAAGAGAAAAGTAAGAAAAAGAAAAAAGATAAGGAAGGTTTAGGAAATGGTGAAAAGAAATCGGCAATGTTATCACTGAAGGGGTTGTTAAAGAGAAATAAATCTAAAGAAAAAGAGAAAGAAAGAGATAAGGATTCATCTCAGGAGAAGCTGTCATCTCCTTCTTTATTCAGAAAGCTTGAGAGGAAGACCAAAAGCAATTTCCAGTCCCCACGTCTTGATGAGTGGCGACATGGGGCGAAAGGTAATGTTGGCAATGGTTCTAGTAGAGATGTAGAAAATGCCAAATACAGCCCTGTAGCAACCAATGGTAAAACACGCCCTGTAATTAGTGGTCCTGTTAGTATGCACCAAGTAGGTAATATGACAGGCATGGGTGTAACAGATACTACCTGTAGAGGCAGTGGTGGTATGACAGCTTCTGGATCTGATAGTGACAGCCCAATTGGGAGCCGTCAAACTTCTCCTAAGCGTATCTTTAGCCATCCCCGTATGGCTAGTCTTGGCACCCAACCATCTCCAAGATTGTACAAACATGTGCTTACTCGACATCTTTCAAGCAGCCAAGAGTCTGTAGACAACCCTCTTTTGTCATCAACACACTCATCACCTCAAGCATCTCCTCATACATCTCCTAAAAGAATGGTCATCCCTGCATCTGCTTCCTCATACAGTCTTCCTGCCAGTAGAGATATGAGTCCTCCAGCCCCAGTCATGGGAACTCGAGCCCTCAGAGGATCCAGTAATAGCTTTTCAGTTACAATAGGATTCAAACCTAAAGTTGAGAAGCGCAATAGAACTATGAGTGAAGGAGCTGACCTTAATAATGTTTCACTTTCACCAGTATCTAAAAGGAAGGAGGGCTCACGTATATTGACACAACTCAATAAACGGTCATCTTCTATGGAAATTCTTGTGTGTGGTAAAATCAGGGAACATTGTTCACAAAGTGGAAAATCTTCAGGCGGAAGTCCATTCTCTCGAGAGGGAAGTTTCCGCTTGCACAGAGAGATTTCAGTAGAAACCTTGTTTGAACTTCCAGAAACAAGTCCCAGATCAAACAGGACACAGGAGGAGTATCAGGAGTATCTAAATGAAATTCAAGCAAGGAATGACTCACATCATGGGTCATCTTGGAGTTTAGTTGAGGAGTCAGATATGGAAAAGGTATACCCAGACATCACTATTAGGCGAAACTCTCACCATACTCCAATTGGGAAAAAACTCAGTCTACCACATAACATGCATCTTTCAGGATTACACAATGCAGCTTCGTCAAATCCAAATCTTCAACGAAATGGATCGCCATTTGTTCGAGGTGTTCCCCACAGCTCCAGTTTCACCTCCAGCCCCTTCAGGCGGCCTCATTCATCTGCAGCTGTATTTTCTCCAGCCAAACGTGTTATGTCTACCTCTGCAGGTCTGTACTTTTTGCATTAATGTCAAAGGCAAGTTTAAATTGTATTTCAGTTGTAATTAATAGTACATAAATTAAGATTTTTAATCTATGAGGAACAAACTAAAAAATAGCTTCCACTTCACATTTAATAAATTCCTAACACAGAATTACTATCTTTTGTAATTAATAAATAAAAAGTCAGAGATTTTGTTTATAGTTTTGCAGTGTTTTTTTTACTTCAATACCAGTGATACCATTAGATTGGTGTTTGGCTTAATTGACGATTGGTCTGAGGTGCGGTTGTTTCATGTTTATCAAGTACTTGTGTCTCCCAACACAGCACCATTAATGTTGAAATTATGATGCAAAGGCATATGTAAATAAAGTGTATGTAGTTTTGAATTGCTTACTTAGCTGATTTGACTAGATTGCATTTTGACTAATGGGAAATTATTGTGATGTCCCACTTTTTGTGTTTGTTATATAATTTTTTTCTTTTTTAATAAAAGTTTGTGTAAAAGTTTTTCTTTTCTGTGGAGAGCCCCTCTGGCTCCCCGGAGCTATACCCGGCTGATGTGTATATATTAAACCATGGCAACAGTCAGTCAATGGAGATCTTAGCTTACCGGGAATCACGAGCCAGAACCTGCCCCCTCAGATAGGTACGTGGAGCAATGGCCTATTGACACCCCTATGTAGTTGGAAGCAGCCTGTCTGCCATCTACTAGGTCAGGCACCCAGAAAGGTAGGAATCCCAAAAGAAACTACAGCTGGTTAAAAATTGCAAACCAAAAGCCGAACGAGCAAGCAGAACTCCCCAATAAGAAAACAAGCAAACAAGCATGACGTTACCACAGTCACTGTGCCGCTGTCTGTGCAGTTCCCCCCTCCCCAGGAGGGGGAAGGGGGGGGCCTCAGACCTCCCACGCCGGCTTCTCAACCCCAGTTCTGAGGCTAGCGAGGTTGGGTGGCAGTCGATCGACTCTGGCTCCAATTCTTGAGCAGTGCTGTGCCTTGTGATGCTGTGCTGCTGTGTGGTGGTGTGTAAACCAGGTGTAATTCCAGAAGTACTGGGGCTCGTGTACTTAGAATCACTAGGGGCCTGACTACTGAGTAGACAGCGCTTCGGATTCGTAGTCCTGAGGTTCCGGGTTCGATCCCCGGTGGAGGTGAAAACAAATGGGCAGAGTTTCTTTCACCCTGTTACCTAGCAGTAAATAGGTACCTGAGAGTTAGACAGCTGCTACGCTTCCTGGGGGGGGGGGTTGTAACAAAAAGGAGGCCTGGTCAAGGACCGGGCCATGGGTGCGCTAAGACCTGAAATCATCTCAAGATAACCTTCCCCTAGATGCCCTGTAAGTACTGCCCTTGCAGTTTGGGGTTACCTTCTACAAACTGTTCAGGGGACTGCCTCCACAGGGTTCTTTTGCTGCTTGATGATTGCCCACCCTTGGGGTCAGCTGGGTGTTTTTCCTACCCCTGTTTGTCCTTGGGTAGGAAGTAGTATCATTGCTGGCTGGGGCGCAAGGTACTGTGCAGCCATCTTAATACGTATAGCGGCCGGTTCTATTCCTCATAGAGACGTGCTTTTGCAGGGTGTTTCTTTTCTTTTTTGTTTTGTTTTGCCTGGTGAGGGTCTGTCTGGTGTGGTGGTAGGACCACTTGTATTGTTTTGGTTGCCCTCCGCTAAGTCCCCGTGATTGCACATGTCACAGGGGTTCAGCTTTTGTTTGTTCTCTTAGTGGTTCTGGGATAACTGGTTAGCTGTACCTTGCCTGGGCTTCCCTTAGCAGTTAGTCTAAGGGACCCTGCAAACCCCCATTGGGTCTCATTGGTCCGATGGATGCGTCTTCCGAGTCCCATCTCACTTCGTGCGAGTTTGAAGGTTTCTCTGTCCCCTTGTCTTAGGGTGACACTCACCGTTTTTGCCTCCGCAATGCTGTCTGTTGGGTCAGTGACACCTTTGACCTTGGATCCTGCGAATGGTGTTCCTTGCTTGTGCTCCAGTTTACCCAGTCCACTGCTATTGATATATTCAGGTGCAGGCAGCTTCGGAGTTGCATGTGAGGTTTAGATTGCTGCAATGCGCTAGGTTGGTTGCCTTTGCGGATGCCTCGAGGCTGCCCCGCTTTGATTATAGTGACCCGGACTTGGGGGCGTTAGTCGCCTTGACTTTGGTTTTATCCACACCCCCTTGCCCTTCTACTGCTGTGGTTCTTCCTGTCCCTCCACCATCCCCATTGCTCTGGTTCCCAAACATCTGAGGGTTTCAGAGTTGGGGAAGAGCTTTCTTGATGGTGAGACTGGTGGGCTTCGAGGACTGCCCCTTCTGGATCGGCGGCAGAAGCATTTGAGCCTGTTCCTCCTGCTGGGGCATTCGGGTCATGCAAGTGGGGCCCTGTTCTTCCCTGCTTTTCTGGTGGACTCTGCCATTTCTCTAGAGGCAGAAGGTTTGGAGGACGGCTTTGCCCTGGGTCAAGCGTGGCCTTGGTCTGGGCTTGGGGAGTAGAAGACCTCCCAGAACCCCATCAAGCAGATGAGGAAAGAGTGGGGATGAGGGAAGAGTGGGGGATGAGGGAAGTGTGGGGGTGAGGGAAGAGTGGGGTTGAGGGAAGAGTGATGTGAGGGAGGAGTGGCAGTGGGGGTAAGGGAAGAGTGGCGGCGAGGAATGGAGCGAGAGAGGTGTTTGGTTAATGTGGTTCACTTGTGTGATCCAACTTTTCATATGAAGGAATTACTAATTGTAACCTGTGATAGAATGGACACTAACACAGGAACTAACTTGGAATGCAATTACATAATGAACTTTATTTCATTTTAGTTGCATAAAATATATCATACCTGAATGTTCCTCGAAATATTACCGACACTTCAACTACTTCGAAAATACCGGAGCCCTGGAAATAACGACCTGGGTACATCCCCATATAGGCCATTAAATCGAGTGCATACTGTATGAAGTTTCCTAGCGGTCCTTTTGGCACTTCTTAACGCTTCATACGTTGTCTTTGATTTCTGATCAGGTTGTTTTGTCCTTTCTCTCTTGGTTGTTTCAGGACCGTCATCTTTTGCCGAATGCTGTTACCTTGTATCGTGCAGCGATGGCGGAGCCGCTTCAGCTTGCGTTTGGGGTGGATGTCACTTGCTCCCTTCTGCACGCTTTCTCAGGTGTTGTTTCACCTCTGGCCTGCTCATGTACCACCTGAGCCGTCCTGGTTGTTGTACTGGTTGCTCTCTTTTCTCTCTTCTTGGTTTGTGATGGTCCCTTCGGTTTAGGACTGTTTTTCTAAGGCTCTTTTTCTTCTTGGCATTGGCCTCTGGGAGTCAGGTCGGGAAGCTTCATGCCTTCCTCCGGCATAGGGATTTGTGCTCTTTTGGTCCTGGTGGTCATTTTGTTCATTTGCAGCCATCTCATTCTTTTCTGGCAAAGAATGAGACTGCTGTTCTCCGGAGGGGTCCTTGGGTTGTTGATGCTTGGTTGGTTCGGCTGGGGGTGCATCATGTTTTGTGTCCGGTTTCGGCTCTTTGCCATTACTTGTACTCCACGGCCTCTGTGACAGGGGACGTGCTTTGGATTGACCCAGTTTCCTTCTTCTTTATTCAGGGGCTCAAGTCTCCCAGGTCATCTGCAGGATTATTCGGTCCAGCCAGCCTGCAGCCTATCACTGTGCCCACAACCTTTGTAAGTTCGCAGCTTTGGCTGCTGTTTTTGGTAATAATATGTCCTGGGCTGACATTTGAGCATAGGGCTTTTGGAGATTGAACAGGGTCCTGGCCGCACGGTACCTCTTTAATATTCTAGGCCCTACCTACCTGGGCATGTGTAGCCTTGGGTCGCAGATGGCAGCCAGTTTTCTCGACTTCAAGTTGAGGAGCGAGTGGCGGCCGCCCCCCAGGTAAGTCTCTCGTTTCCTTTATCTTTGGTTAGGTAGCTCTGAGGAGCCGGAGAGGCTTTCCACAGAAAACCAGCATTGAATGTAGTAAAACGCCATTTTCGGGTGAGACCCGGAAGCTCCCCGGCTTCCCTCCCTCCCTCTGGTCTGTGTTTTTTTGGCATTTTGATATTCTGCCTCAGCTGGGGTTGAGTAGCTGTCACAGGAGGTCTAGGAGCCTCCCCTTCCCTTTCCTGGGGAGGGGGGAGCTGCACAGACAACGGCGCTGCGACTGTGGTGACGTTATGCTTGTTTTCTGCTTGGGGGGCTATGCTTGCTCGTTCGGCTTTCGGTTTGCAATTTTTAACCAGCTTTAGTGTGTTTTGAGATTTCTACCTTTCTGGGTGCCTGACCTGGTAGATGGCAGATATAGTCTGCTTCCAACTACATAGGGGTGTCTATAGGCCATTGCTACTCATGCCTCTCTGAAGGAGCCAGGTTCTGGCTCATGGTCCCCGGTAGGCTAAGAAATCCATCGATTGACTGTTGCCACGGTCTAATATATACACATCAGCCCAGTATATCTCTGGGGAGTCTCCAGGGAGTCTCCAGGTCTCATCCTAAAAATGGCATTTCATTACATTCATTGCTGGTTTTTTAAATAAATGTTTGTTTAAAATGAGCATTTCCCTTTTACAGTGGTACCTTCCTTTATGATCGTAATCCATTCCCAGAGACATGTTGTCAACAAAATGAATTTTCCCATAAGAAATAATGTAAATTGAATTAATTCGTTCCACATCTCCAAAAATATTAACTTAAAAATACGTTTAACCCTTAAACTGAGCAACGCTCCTGCAGGCTAATGTCTGGTTTGCGCAATGCGCCTTCGGGTATTTGTATTTTTCACGTTCCATTCAAAACTCCCGTGGCTACATGGGGTTCACATCAGCTTCCTCAGGGCTCTTGTAAACAGACGCCATCTTTAAAAAATATCGTGGTCCACATTCCTGGGTGTGGGAGCCTCAGTAGTGTGTGAGCAACCAAGGCTGGCGCTCGCAGCATGAGCGCACAGCACTGCTGTTCAGCGTGTGACCACAGCATCGCCTAATAATGTCAAAATATATATATAACTTGTATTATTTAGCCATGATAGTGTTATAGAAGAGCCTGAGTGTGATAATGACTGGGTACAATGTTCAAATATCAGTGATTCAATGCTGTTCACGATGTTCACAGCGCTTGCCACAGCACCACAGCATTATTTCGTCCATCTAGGAATCTTCAAATGATTTCTTAGGTTCCTTTTCAAAATAAACATGTGGTCAATTATTCATTTAAAGGAATTAGTGACCAGGATTGTGATAATAGCAGGATTGTGGTTATAATTAGCGTTGTGCGTAGTATTGTGGAAGGAGGAATTTTGGTGAGGGAGGGAGGGAGAGAATTGAGGTAGCCTCTGTGTGTGTATGTGGCAGCCACTCTTGTTTTGCTCACCATACTAGCTTAGTGGTTCGCTATGGGCAACACATATGTACATGTTTATAAACAGTGTGTATATAGTGTAATAACAGCAACAGGAGAATGTTGAGATGAGCTATCTTGGTGAGGGAGGTTACGTAGTAATCGTAGCGTCGTCTGCTGTCTGCTGTGTGATATTTGGCAACTGTACTGTTTGGACACAATACCAGCTTACTTGCATAATTCTGGTAAATAAAACATGTAGATAGGTATATATAACATGTGTAATTAGTGTAATAAGAACAATAACAGAGTGGTGGGAGGAGCAATGTTGGCGAGTAAGATGTTGGAGTGAGGGAGACTGGCTGGGTGTGGCTGCTCCTACTTGAGGTGTTCTGAGTGTGTTGATGGTGAATGTATATACTGTGTGACAGTGTATAGTGTGTAAATAGATTATATATACATAAATTAGCATGATACATGGTAAATATGTGCAACATATGTGTACACAAGTGTCATGCACATAACACAGTGTCTTCGGACAGTACTGATGTTTTACTGCCATAATATAGTGTACGTGTTCATTATACAGTGGTACCTTGGTTTAAGAGTTTAATCCGTTCCTAGAGAAGCTCGTATTCCGAAAACTCGTAATCCGAAGCTAATTTCCCCCATAAGAAATAATGGGAAATGAATTAACCCTTTACTGGCTACCCAAAAACCTCACTTCAAACTAAATTTTATACCTAATTCATATAAATAAACCTACAAACTATGTTCAAGTTATTACTTACCCTTGCTGATGACTGCTGTTGGCGTATGGAAGATGGTGAGGAGGAGGGAGGAGAGAGGTTTTATTGTTTGGAAGGTGAGTCCCCTTCCATTATAACATCAGGCAGTGAGGACTTCTCTGGTGTGCACACTCTGGCACATTTTGCCTGCATACCACTAGGACTTGCTTGTCTTACTAAAAATCTGTCTAAAGACACTTGTTTTCCCTACATTTTAACACTTGTCTGTAGTAAGACATCACATTGTCATTTAAAAGGTCAATGCAACGGCCTGCTACAGCTTTATTTGGGTTAGATTTTCAACAAAACTTTGCAGTTCTTCCCATACTTCACACATTTTCTTAATCAAGAAGGGACATCCTCTACTGCCTCTATTCACAGCTATTTTCTTAGGTTGAACCTTACCAATGACTTTCTTGAGACCCATGGTGAGATATATAATAACAACTTTTAAGCTCAAATGGCCAAAAAAACGACAAAAAACTGTAAATCCTTGTGAAAAATTCAGGCAGGGCGCGAGACACTGGTAAACTGAGGCGCGATTGCCGTGCCACCACGCGCTAGACGGCCTGTACGTGTATCAACAAACTTGTGTTCCGAGGCAACCCTCGCCTTCCGAGGCAAATTTTCCGAACAAATCCTGCTCGTATTCCGAAAAACTCGTATACAGGGACACTCGTTTTTCGTCGGAATTACTCGTATTCCAAGGTTCCACTGTACATAGGATTAGCACGTAAAAACAAATAAAAATGTACAGTGGTACCTCGGAATGCGAGTGTCCCTGTATGCGAGTTTTTCGGAAGACGAGCAGGATTTACTCCAAAAATATGTCTCGGAAGGCGAGGGTTACCTCGGGACGCGAGTTTGTTGATACATGTACAGGTCGACTGGCGCGTGGTGGCATGATGATCGCACCTCAGTTTACCAGTGTCTCGTGTCCAGTGACTATCCCACCTGAATTCTTCACAAGGATTTACAGTTTTTTAAAGGTTTTTTGGCCATTTGAGCATAAAAGTTGTCATTATATATCTTGCCATGGGTCTCAAGAAAGCCATTGGTAAGGTTCAACCTAAGAAAATAGCTGTGAGTAGAGGCAGTAGAGGATGTCCCTTCTTGATTAAGAAAATGTGTGAAGTATGGGAAGAACTGCAAAGTTTTGTTGAAAAAACTCACCCAGATAAAGCTGTAGCAGGCCGTTGCATTGACCTTTTAAATGATAATGTGATGTCTTACTACAGACAAGTGTTAAAATGTAGGGAAAAACAAGTGTCATTAGACAAATTCTTAGTAAAACAAGCAAGTCCTAGTGGTATGCAGGCAAAATGTGCCAGTGTGTGCATACCAGTGAAGTCCTCACTGCCTGATGTGATAATGGAAGGGGACTCTCCTTCCAAACAGTAACTCCTCTCTTCCTCCCACCTCCTCACCATCTTCCATACGCCTACAGCAATCAACAGCAAGGTAAGTAATAACTTGAACATAGTTTTGTAGGTTTATTTAGATGAATTAGGTATAAAAATTTAGTTTGATGTGGGGTTTTTGGGGTAGTCAGGAACGGATTCATTCATTTTCCCTTTATTTCTTATGGGGAAATTAGCTTCGGAATGCGAGTTTTGGGAATACGAGGCGTCTCCAGGAACCAATTAAACTCTTAAACTGAGGTATGCCTGTATTTGGAACTGTGCGCAAAAAATGAACAAAAATATATTCGCGGCAGCTCACACACCCAGCCCCGGGCTCCCTACTGGCCCCGTGAGCGTACGTCACGGGCGAACAGGGAATGACGACATTACGCTCCAACTTACGGACCCCATAGCAGCCAAAGTACGTACAATGTCGAAATTTTTTTTGACATACCCATACTGAGGGAAGGGTTTTTGACACTTTAAAAAACAAAAGAATTTTTCCAGAGAATTTATTTCCTGCGCACTGAGGGGGTGTCATATTTGGAAGCCGAGCAGTTAAGGGGTTAAGGCTCTCCCCACCATCCATCCAGTCTCCTCCCCCCCCCCTATCCATCCCTACATCCAGTTCCCCCACCATCTATTCATCCAGTCCCTCCATCCATCCATCTAGTTCCCCCCCACCATCCATTCATCCAGTCCCCCTTCACCATCCATCTATCCACCCCTTCCATCCACTCCATCTATCCACCCCTTCCATCCACTCCATCTATCCATCCATCCATCCATCCATCCATCCATCCATCCATCCATCCATCCATCCATCCACCCCCTATCCATCTATCAAGTTCCCCCATCCAGTTCCCCCACCACCCATGCACCCAGTCATCCATCCATCGAGTAACCCTTCACCATCTTTCCATCCAGTTCCCCTTCCATCCATCCAGTTCCCCCACCATCCATCCAGTCCCCCTTCACCATCCATGCACCCAGTCCCCCCCCCCCCCACCATCCATCCATCCAGTTCCCCCCACCATCCACCTAGTTCCCTCCTCCATCTATCCATCCAGTTCTCCCTCCATGTATCCAGTTGTCCCCTCCATCCATCCAGTTGCCTCCATCATCCGTCCATCCATCTAGTTCGCCCACCATCCAGTTTTCTCCATTAACCATCCGTCCAGTTTCCCCACCATCCATCCATGCTGTTCCCCCCCACCATCCATCCAATTCCCCCACCATCCATCCAATTCCCCCACCATCCATCCATCCATCCATCCATCCATCCATCCTTCCTTCCACCCCCCTATCCATCCATGCATCCATCTTTCCACCCCCCTATCCATCCATCCATCCTTCCACCCCCCTATCCATCCATCCTTCCACCCCCCTATCCATCCATCCATCCTTCCTTCCACCCCCCTATCCATCCATCCATCCTTCCTTCCACCCCCATATCCATCCATCCATCCATCCTTCCACCCCCCTATCCATCCATCCTTCCACCCCCCTATCCATCCATCCATCCTTCCTTCCACCCCCCTATCCATCCATCCATCCTTCCTTCCACCCCCATATCCATCCATCCATCCATCCTTCCACCCCCTATCCATCCTTCCACCCCCCTATCCATCCTTCCACCCCCCTATCCATCCATCCTTCCACCCCCTATCCATCCATTCAGTCCCCTCACCATCCATCCAGTCCTCTCACCATCCATCTTGGAACCCCATGGTGTGATATGTCATAAGAACTTTTGTTATAAAAAACTAGACAAACAATGAAATTCTTCACAAAGAATTAAAAGTGCGGCCATGGTCGTCACTATGTGTGATAGACTTGTAAACAAACTCAGAGCTCCTCGCCCCTCACCCCCAGCACCACGCGCTCATTCGACCCATACGTGTATGAACAGACGTCGTCTTCCAAGTAAACTGTCGTGTACCTTTTCAAATTTTACGATGAATTTGACATCGTATTCCAAAAAATTCGTCTTTAAGGTAATCGCCAACTGAGGTTCCACTGTATTGGTAAAGGGCATTTGCTTAGGATTTGTTGGTATCTGTTTTCTTTTGGATTTTTTTTAGGCAAGATATTGATTTTCTTTAGAATTTGTTGGTATCAGTTTTTTTTTTAGGATTTCTTGGTATCGGTTTTCTTTAGGATTTCTTGGTGGTCGGTTGTCTTTAGGATTTTTTTAGGCAAGATATTCTTCATCTTAAGTTTGTAAGACATTGTAATAAGTGTAGAATTTGGTAATGACAGGTGGATCTCCGTCAAGTGATGCCACTCCAGGAGCCCCACTCATGCGTGTGGAAGAGGAGGGACCGTGCCGAAAGAATCTTGACAATGTCACAGAAAAGCCTCCTAATGTTCTTGTTTATGCTGCAAACAAAACAGAATATTTTACAGCAGTTAAGGAGACCCTCCTGAATTGTCTCAATGTTGATAGGTAAGTAAATACAGCTTTAATAAACAGAACCAGTAAATATCTCATTTTAATAATTAAATAATAATAATTCATTGTGTCAGGAGACAGGCAGCCAAAGTGTATTCATATATGTTAGGCTCATACTGAGGTCTCTCCCCCCCCCCCCCCCTTCCCCCAGGTCGAATTACTGACCTCGCCCAGGATGCAAACCCACAACAAGCTGACTAACTTCTGAGTACCTACTTACTGCTAAAGTGAACAGGTTTATTAAGTGATAGGAAATACATCCAACCATATCTGTGGGCATTTTAAAGAGGAAACTAGATTTTCTAACAGAAGTGCCGGACCCACTGGACTGTGGTGGGTATGTGGGTCTGGGAGCTGCTCCAAGCAATAGCCTGGTGGACCAAGCTTTCACAAGTCAAACTTGGCCTTGGGCCGGGTTTGGGGAGTAGAAGAACTCCCAGAACCCCAGCAAGCAGGTATCAAGCAAGTATCAAGAAGGTGTGCCACTTGGGATTTGAACCCGGAATTCTAGGTGGTGAAGCCAAGAACGAACCCGACTCTACGACCGAGACCCTTTATTATCAGCTCATTAAGTTTTGTATGAAATGTCTCAAAAAAAGTAGAACTGTATTCAACATGTCTTTTCATTTGAGTTTTCTGTAAAGTGCAAAATGGTCTGGAATAGATTAATTCAATTTACATTATTCCTTATGAGAAAAATTATTCGGTACTGTACTAGAACATACCAGATTGGCACTTGTCTTCTGGAACGAATTAAGTTAGAGTACTGAGGTATTACTGTACAGTACTTTAATTTTGCAAGTTGCATTCCCCTCTAATCATTTGGCTACTACTATATATGCATTTGCAGGCATCTGATCAAATCTGTTTCTATGATTTTTCTGGGCAGCTAACTTGGTAGCTGCCCAAGCAGTTCTTCGAAATCTTGAGGGCACTGGTCACATTATGCATGGGATGATTTCTTTTACTCACTGAGGGATAAGGACAATTTCAATGTCTTGTGTCTACTCAAAGGGGCAGGGAGCTTGTGAATGTAAGAGATAAAGTACAAAATCAAGACAGTGTTCTATAACACAAGCTCCTTTTGAAAAAGATTTGGTAACAATGTATCACCAAACAGCCTTCTGAAAACAAATGAAACAGCACTCCCAACTGTCTCAAACAGCACTACTTAGTGCCAGTACCAACTAGAGGGTTGGAGAATCTGGTAACGTCAATTGAAGTCTTATGTTCTGTGTGTCATCTTGATGATCAGAAACCACTATTCTTAACAGGTACTTACCTTAGGTTGTATTGCCTAAACATTTGGTGCCCATGCTTATGTTTACTTCATGTTGTGTTTGCCAGGTTCATAGTTACTCTGAAGTTATACTTTGCATCAAGTGTAATGACAAACGATCATCAATTATCTTCGACTGTTTTTATTATCTCAGTGTTAGCACTTCAGTTATGGGATGACTCATCTTTAGTCTTAATTATGTAGAGTAGTATTCTATGGAAAAATCTGGAGCTGGAGCACCTAAGGCAGTTCGTTGTTGCCTTCATCCTCGTTCTGGCAGCTCCTGCAATGGCATTGGAACCAAGCATATTAGCGTTTGCCTTTTCATTGAACAAGTTCAGCAATGTGGAGAGGGGGGGACCTGCTGCATGGGGTAATGGCTTCTCCTCTATACTGACCTACCCAGGCTTTGTGCCCTGGAGAGGACATTCCTACCTTGACAACCAGAATGCAACTCTTGAGTCTTCCGAGACTGCTGGATGCCTACTACTCTGCAACTTAATTGTTGAGTGAGGGTCTAGGACTCAGGTAGCTTATCATGCAATTATCCATAATGCTTGTTTACTAACCTTTCCACTTGGTAGCCATGGTCAGGGTTATCTTGCCTGGTACCAATGGTTCTGCTCAACTACCACCAGAGAATTGATGCCGAGATTGTTGGGTGCCGTTTTTGGAGGCCTGCGCACCTATGTTTTGTAAATGTTGTTCATGGTTATCTTCCATATTGACATCAGCACTGCTCAATGGTCACTCGAGGTATCACAGAGATTATTGGGTGTCTTCTAGTTATGTGCCATGTTGTATTTCAGGCATTTGCTTTTGTTCCCTATCAGCTTCATTACTTCCAGGTAATATGTCCTGGGCTGATATTTGGGCACAGGGGGTTTTGGAGGTCAAACAAGGTATTCAGGGTATAATCCAGGTACTGTATCTTGTTAATGTCCCTGGTCCTCTGTGACCATGTATTTTTTGGGTCGTATGTCATGTATGTTGGTCTCTCGTTCTACTTGATACCTGCAGTTCTGCTATCTTCCTGGTGAGTGCCAGTTTTTGTTAACTACTCTGCGAGTAGTTAACTTTAAGAAGCCAACGGGGCTCCTCTCAGAAAACCAGCACTGAATGTAATAAAACGCCAGTTTCTGGGTGAGTCCAGTAGGCTCCCTGACACCCTCCCTTCCCCAGGTCGTCGGCAAGTTTTATCATTATAGAACTGGCCGGTGGGGGCCTGGCTGGTCCGGACCAGCACCCTCCTTTTCCCAGGGTAGGGAAGAGTTGGGGGCAAACTAGGGGGGTGGCTCTTTTCACAAAATTGTTATTGTTTGTTTTCACTGAGGGAAGTTCTTTTCGCAGTTTTGGGGCTGCAGTCTCATTTTAACCATGCAGTGGTCTGTTTTCATTCAACTATCTTTCTGTGTGCCTTAAATGGATGGTGGCAAATATGATAAACTTTAAATGTAAACAAATCCACAAGGGTCGTGACGAGCGTTCAAACCTACGTCTGAGAGGATCCCACGCTGCCTTCATCGACTGAGCTACGACATGGTTAAAATAATTGCAACTGGGAAATCATCCCGATTTACCATGGTTCCTGCAGTCTCTCTGAGACACAAACCAGGGTTTTACGCAATTTTCCCATGCAACCGAGCTATGTCAATAGGCTGTTCTACGTCTTTGCCTTTACTTCATTACATGCTTACTGTGTGTAATGAGTGTTTAAATGTAAGGTGTTCAATGGCCATCTTTCCCTGCACCTCTCTGGTGCAGGAAAAGATGGCCTGATCTAGGCTATCTTTCATCTGGAAAGATGATCCAGGCCATCTGGAAAAATTGGATGGTCCAGGGTCTGACTCGAGGTTCCTGGTAGGCCAATAGAACTCTGTGACTGATGACACCTAGTAGTATACACTTAATCAGTGTAATTTCCTAAGTGTAATTACCTAAGTGTAGTTACAGGATGAGAGCTACACTCATGGTGTCCCGTCTCCCCAGCACTCTGTTACATAACATAGTGTGATAGTTTCATGGGGCCTCCAAGGCTCACCCAGAAACTGGCATTTCATTACAGTTACCACTGGTTTTATTTATATGTCCTGATGTGATTATGCTTCATTTATTGCATGATAATTTATGCTTTGATGTGACGATATCTCGCACATTGATTTGAGGGATTACAGTGCTCTGATATCATAATGTGTCATATGGAGTAAGGTCCATAGATTTCCCATTTCAGTGTCACTGCACATTAATGAAGTCACCAAAGTGAAGTGTGGGAACCCATTGATATAAGATTATTTATGTTTATGTTTCTTTCTGTAAATATATTTTTAATAATAATACACAATCTAGGTGTTTCTGTACTCCTCTGAGGATTTCCCCTAGGCATTCAACAGCAGGCTTATCAAATAAATCCCTAGGAGTACAATTAAGTGAAACTACCCATAGGGAAAAGTCCTAGCCTAGATCAAGGTTGGCAGAAAACCATAACAGATTCCATACACCGTTTCAAATGTAGATATAGATCCCAATAGAATTAGGACCCTGTACATCAGTTGATTAATAGTTGAGAGGCAGAACCAAAGTGCCAAAGCTCAAGCCCTGCAAGCACAACTAGGTGAGTGCACTTTGGTACCTCCCCCCCCCCCCCACCTCCATTACAACCACCTCAAGCCTGTGCACATTACACCCACATGTGCACATTACACCCACATGTGCACATTACACCCCACATGTGCACATTACACCCCACATGTGCACATTACAAAGAGAATTAATTCTCTCATCCTAGCCTGTCATCATTGTACACCCCTAATTGACTGCTTGCACAACCCTCTTCTTATCATGAGGTGTGCTGTCCCAGGGATTTCTTCCTCGATTACCCTCATGCAATCAAAACATTTCCAGTCCTATTATTTGTATTGCATAAACTTCTTAGGCTCACATACAAATGTTTTATGAATTAAAATTTATTCCAAAACATCATGTACTATTTTGACATGCTTATTTTGTATTGATACTTACAGGTACACAATATACCAGCTGACTGATGAGATGGCTTTTAAATCTCCTTGGGCTGGAAGTACTACCTTGTTAGTGGTGTGTGGTGATGTCCCAGCGCATGTATCAACAGTCTTCATAAGGTAATGTGAACTAATCATAGAAGCTTTAAATCTTTGGAAATGTTGTTGATTATAAAGTTAGTCCATATATACTTTGTGATTTGTTTGAAAATTCAGATATTAATTATTTATTTATTTTTTCGTTTTGTATATTTAACTCATAAAGGGAATTCAAAAGTACAGTGGTACTTTGCTTTTCGAATTTAATCCGTTCCCAGAGACGGCTCATAAACCGATAATTTGCAAACCGAAATGAATTTTCCAATAAGAAATAATATAAATTGAAACCCTCCATTCCACACTCACAAAAATATTAACTTCAAAATACATTTCATACATAATACTCACAAATATTTTGTACCATAGTATGTACAAGTTATAGCTTACCTTTATTGATGACTCCTGTTGACAGTGAGGAGGAGGGGAGAAGGAGAGGTGTTAGTGTTTGGAAGGGGAGTTCCCTTCCATTATAACATCAGGCAGTGATGACTTTCTGGGGTACTCACTCTTCTACGTTTTGCCTGAATACCACTAGGACCTGGTTGTGGCTCACTGAATTTTTTTCTCACCAAGAACCTTTTCATAGAGATTTCTTTTTCCCTACATCTTAACACCTGGCGGCTGAGTGCACAGCACTCGGAGTTCATAGTCCTAAGTGTCCAGGTTCGATCCCCGGCGGAGGCAGAAACAAATGGGCAGAGTTTCGTTCACCCCTGATGTTCTGTTCATTTAGCAGTAAATAGGTACATGGGAGTTAGACAGCTGCTACAGGCTGCTTCCTGGGGATGTGTGTTGTGAAAATTTGGGTTAAGGACTTGCCCAAAATGCTATGGGTGCTAGTGGCTGTACAAGAGTGTAAGAACTCTTGTACAGTGGCACCTCGACATACAATTGCCCCTACTTATGATAATTTCGAGTTACGATGTAAATTTCATTGAAAAATGCAACTAGACATCAGATGGTGTCGTTGACTTCCGATATTTGTTGGTACGCGTTCGGGTAGACCGAGCACGTGGTTCCTGGTCATGCGGCCGACCTGCCTCAGTTTACTACAGCTGCCCGCTTAGTGACGATCGCGCTTATAATAAATTCCGCTTTTGTGGTGATTTTTTGCATTTTGAACATTAAAGTAATTATTATATATCACACCATGAGTCCCAGGAAAGTCAGTGGTAAGGCTCAACATATGAAAACCCATGTGAGGATGACCATAGAGCAGAAACAAGAGTACAGAATGTCTCTTCCTCAACAATTAAGAAAATGTGTGCAGCATGGGAAGAATTGCAAACCTTTGCTGAAACGACTCGTCCAAATCAAGCTGCAGTAGGTCGTTGCCTTAACCTATTCAATGACACTGATGCATCATTACAGACAAATATTAAAATGAAGGGAACAACAAATGTCTCTCGACAAATTTGTAGTGAGACAAATATGCACTGAACCACAACCAGGTCCTAGTGGTATTCAGGCAAAACGTAGGAGAGAGAGTACCCCAGAGAAAACATCACTGCCTGATGTGATAATGGAAGGGGGACTCCCCTTCCAAAGAGTAACAACTCTCCTCCTCCCCCCTCATCACCATCTTCCATACACCATCAAGAGCCCTCTATAAAGGTAAGAGTAACTTTGGTACTGTATTGTAGTTAGAAAAAACATTGTATTCAGTATAAAATGTATTTGTATGTTAATATTTTGGAGGGTGGGGAATGGATTAATTCAATTCCTTTTATTTCTTATGGGAAAAATCGCTTCAACTTACGATCCGTCTCTGGAAATTGATTAGCATCGTAAGTCAAGGCCCCATTGTATATATAAATAAGTAATTAAATAAAAAACACTTGTCTGTAGTGAAGCATCAATGTTATTAAAAAGGTTAAGGCAAGGGCCTACTGCAGCTTGATTTAGGCGAGTCGTTTCAACAAAACTTTGCATTTCTTCCCATACTGCACACCACTTCTTAATTGTTGAGGAAGGGAACATTCTGTACTGCCTCCTCCACTGAAGAAATTTCCTCAGCTGTCTCTTGTTGCTGCTCCTTGTGAAGAGCTAGGAGTTCTTCGGTGGTCAGTTCTTCGCTGTGTTCCTCCACCAACTCCAAGCCCAATTGCTGGCCCAGAGAAACAATTTCCTCAACAAGAAGCATTGCAGATTCAGGTTGAAACCACTCAAAGTCTTGTTCTGCAACACATTCAGGCCACAATTTTCTCCAGCCAGAGATCATGGTTCTTAGAGTCACTTCTTGCCAGGCTTTGTCCATGAGTTTTAAAGCATTACAAATGTTAAAATGGTTTTTCCAGAACTCTTTGAGAGTGAGGTTTGTGGCATCAGTCACTTCAAAACATCTCCAGAAAGTGCCCTTTCATAAAGTTTCTTAAAATTGGAAATGATTTTCTGATCCATAGGCTGAAGTAGAGGATTGGTGTTGGGAGGAAAGAACTTTACCGTAACAAAACTAAATTCCTCGAACAATGAATCCTCCAAGCCTGGAGGATGAGCAGGAGCATTGTCGAGGAGAAGCAGGGCTTAAGTGGCAAACTATTCTCCTGCAGATATTTTTTGATGGAAGGGCAAACCACTTCATTCACTCACTCGGTAAAAAATTGCCTTGTCACCCATGCCTTACTGTTAGCTCTCCACATCACACACATTTGGCTTTTCTGCACATTATATTTTTTGAAAACCCTTGGATTTTCGGAATGATACACAAGTATGGGTTAAATTTTCAAATCTCCACTTGCATTACCACACTGCTCAAGAGTTAGCCTATCTTTCATTGGCTTGTGTCTAGGTAATGACTTTCCTGGGTAATGTATGTCCTCTTCGTCAATCTTTTCCAGAATTGCCCTGTCTCGTCATAATTAAACACTCGTTGTGGTTGGTATCCCTCACTCTACAAAATCTTTAAATTTGCTAACAAATCTTTCAGCCGCTTATTTGTCTGAGCTGGCAGCCTCCCCATGCCTCACAACACTATGAATGCTACTTCCTTTTACAAAATTTCTCAAACCATCCCCTGCTCACCTTAAAATCTTTTGTATCTGCATCACTCGTTCCAGGGGTTTTCTTTATGAGATCTTTGTGGAATAGTCTTGCTTTTTCACAAATGATGGCCTCTGAAATGCTATCACCCGCTAACTGCTTGTTGTTTATCTAAATTAATAATAACTTTTCAACATCAAGTGTTTGTGTTCTTTGTTTCGTGATTGTTGTTACAACTTTTGCCACTTTAGCTCTTGAAATGTCCATTTTCTTAGCAAGTACGGGGCATATTGTTGACAGATTTGATGTACTGCCTAGCTAGTTCAACAACCCGTATACCATTTTCATGTTTACTAATGATCTCTTGTTTTTCCTCTGGTCATCCTCACATGTGTTTACTTAGGTTGTATCTTACCACTGAATTTCTTGGGATACATGGCATGGTATATAACTACTACTTTTATGTTTAGAAACCAAAAAAGCTGAAAAAAATGAAATTCTTTACAAAGAATTCAAATGCTATCATCACTACGTAGGAGGCACTGGCAAACTGAAGCGAGGGCGCCTGTGCGACCAGGAACCACGTGCTCGGTCAACCCATACGTGTATCAACAAACTTGCAGAGCGAGGCAAAGCTCGTAAACTGATTTGAATTTTACAAAGAAATTGAGCTTGTAACCCAAAAAATTTGTAAAGCGGGACGTTCGGCAACCGAGGTTCCACTGTACCTAAATTATAACAGGACTTCAAATGGACTGTGTTTTCATGGATCCAGTTTGGACCAGACCATATATGAGCTGGTTGGAAACTACAGTAGAATGGAAAAACAAAACAAAACAAAATTACAAAAAGCAAAGTTTGTAAATACTATCACATCACACATTTGTACTCACAGGTCTGCACAAAATTAAGCATTACCTTGTCTTATAGCCAGCTTGTCACAAAGAGGACCCAGTGTTTGTACATTTACAACCACAGTAATTAGTTCTGTATATTATGTACAGTACGTACTTGATAAATACTGGTAGTCCAGGAGCCAGATTCATGAAGTAGTTACGCTTTGAAATGTAATTACCTAAGTGTAGTTACAAGATGAGAGCTACGCTCGTGGTGTCCCGTCTCCCCAGCACTCTTTGTCATATAATGCTTTGAAATTACTGACGGTTTTGGCCTCCACCACCTTCTCACTTAACCTGTTCCAACCGTCTACCACACTATTTACAAAAGTGAATTTTCGTATATTTCTCTGGCAGCTTTGTTTCGTTAGTTTAAATCTATGACCTCTTGTTCTTGAAGTTCCGGGTCTCAGGAATTCTTCCCTATCAATTTTATCGATTCCTGTTACTATTTTGAACGTAGTGATCATATCGCCTCTTTTTCTTCTATCTTCTAGTTTTTGCATATTTAATGCCTCTAACCTCTCCTCATAGCTCTTGTCCTTCAGTTCTGGGAGCCACTTAGTGGCATGTCGTTACATCTTTTCCAGTTTGTTGGAAAACTGGTGAACTGAAAAACGCAAGTACTTTCGAATGTGTACATCTTTCCTCAATCTTTGATGGCTTTGGTTACATTTATTAAACAGTTTACAAATGTGGAAACTTCTCAATCAACTGTTGTTATTGTTATAAACAGCCTTCTGGTGCTTTGGAGCTCATTGACTGTTTAATAATTGTAAACAAAGCCGCCAAAGATTGAGAAAAGGTGTACAGGTTTGTAAGTGCTTGTGTAACTGCTTCGTGAATCCAGGTTCAGGTCTCTAATATCTAAACTATAAATGAGAGAGAATTTCTGTTTGTCTGTCCGAAGTTTGCGGCCAGATGCTTGGGGTTAGCCTCACCCAAAAAGGCATGGGAAATGGTCTGGGGAAGGAAAAAGATATAGCTAGATAGAGAGATATCTAGGTAGAGATAGAGGAAATTACAAAGGGGAGAGGGGGAACAGATAGACAGACCCAGCCAATGCCAGGTACCTCCCTAGTACACAATAAAATAATAACTTACTAGAGCAAAAGATATGGTTGAAAATGCAGAATAGACCAACCAAAGAGTAGGGTTTTCATTGCTACAATAAAAAAAGACAGTATGACCATGACTCTTCCATCTTTTCCCACCAAATATAAGAAATATTACCAGAACATAAGTGGAGGTATTCAGTAGGCAATTGGGCAAGTTCCTGCAAGAAGTGCCAAGCCAGCCAGGCTATAATTAATATATATTCCACTATAAACATTAATCTTAAGGTCAAGTAATCGTAATGCCTGGCCCTAGACCAGGCTTTTGGGATTAGAATAACTCTTGAAACTGATTGCAAATAAACTACAGACTGGATAGTAAGATTGATGCTTGGTTATTGAATTAACTTTTTCCATGTTCCACTTCCAATAATACTGTTTTTGACACCACCTGAATCACCTGTGATTGAATACTCAATAATTCACCATTTACTGCTGCAGCTCTCGAACCCTGTCTATGTAGGAAATATGAAAATGGATATCTGTTGGTTACCATTATATAAATGATTGACCGTGCCTGTGGTAGAAAATAAACTAAAAAATAAAATAAGTACTTCTCGATAGGACACATGCCTCCTCAGTCGTCTACAGACAACATTGGCTAGCACTGCCCATGTTGTTAGCTAGAGGAGTTGACTCCAGTATCTGCTGTAGTGCATATTACAGATACAGTACTAACAATCTGCCTACTGTTATTGTTAACTTGCATTTTAACATCTCCTCATCTGGTAATTTTCTTAAACGACATACTATTGAATAATACTGTAAAAAATCTAGAGAAAACAAATCAGACATTGAAATAAGTATTGTATGAAATATCTTCATGGTAACTCCAGTCTCATGCCTGGCCTGGGGCAACCTCCATGAGGTGATTGCTCCATGAATGCTCGTGAATCATGATGTCATTACAAAATTTCCTCACTTAACCACAACCAAAGTAAGTCTCATAATTTTGTTCAATTTTCATGTGATCATAAAAATATTTTAACAATATTAAAAGGAATTTTTTTTTCAGTTATACTGTGTTTTTATTTTCTGTGGGGAGCCCCTACGGCTCCCTGGATCTAATCGGGCTAATGTATGTTACATTAGACCGGGACATTAGCTAAGGAGTTCAGACCTACCAGGGACCAGTGCCAGAACCTGGCCCCTTCAGAGAGGTTTCAGGGAGCAATGGCCCTGGAAAACCTGCTTGTGGTTGGGGTTTTCCTCATTTGCCATTGACCGTAGTCAGGCACCCAGAAAGATAGGGATAACAAAACAAACCCCAAATGGTAAAAAACTGAAACAAAAAACCGAACAAAGAGGTAGAATCTCCCTACAATCCCAAGGAAACAAGCAAACAAGGAAACATCACACTTTACTGCCGCACCGATCGTCCGCGCAGCCCTCCCTGCCCCGAGAGGGGAAAGGGGGACCCCCGGACCTACCGCGCCGGCTGCCTAACTTCAGTTCGTAAGCTAATGTCAGCTGGGATAGACGCTTCTCTGGCCTCAGTTTCCTAGGCGGTGTTTGCCTTGTGTGGCGTTCACTGCCGTGTGTTGTGTTGTGCGGTGGCCAGGAGTACCTCATCAGTGCCGGGTCTACATGCACTTATGGGCTTCCTTCCCCAAGCGCCCTGTGAGTACTGCCCCTGCGTAACAGGGTTATCTTCCCTGGGGCGTTCAGGAACCATTCCCGTAGAGGTTCTTGCTGCTCGGCATTTGCCTCGCCCTTGGGGCCAGCTGGGGCTTCGGGCCCTTGTTTAGCCCTGGGTAGGGACTGGTATTGTGCTGGTTAGGGCGTCAAGGTGTTGCGCGACCTGCCACCTAAGCGGCGACCGGTTCCTGTTGCCGCTGGAGATGGTGTACTTTTGCGGGGGTTGTCTTTTGTTTTTATTTTCATTTGCCTGGTGGGGGTCTGCCTAGTGTGGGTCTGCCTAGTGTGGCTATAGTTTCACTGGTAGTGTTTGGTGGCCCTCTGCTAGGCCCCCGTGATTGTACACGTCGCAGGGGTTTTCAGTGTTATCCTCTACTACCCCTTGTTATTTTTGGGTGTTTAACCGGTTAGCAACACCTTGCCCGGGCTTCCTGTAGTTGTTACCCCTACGGGCCCTGGAAACCCCTGTCGGTGCTCGGTGGACCATTGTATGTGTCTTCCGGGTCCCAACCCATCTTGTACGGGATCGTTGGTTGCTGTGCCCTTGTCTCCGGGTGACAGTCCCCACTTTTACCTCCGTCATGTTGCCTGTTGGGTCACTGCCACCTTGACCCGGAGTCTTGCGAGAGAGATTCTCTGCTTGTTCTCCAGTACTCTCCTGATGTTATTACTGTTCAGAGTACAGGCGGCATCCGTGTTGCAAGCTAGGTTAGGTTACTGCAACACCCTAGGTTGGTTTCCCACTCGGATGCCCCGAGGCCGCCCCGTTTTGGTTAGGTGCTGTTCGCCCCTTTCCCTCCCTGTTCCCGGCTCCGGACAGTCTGCGGGTTTCGGGGTCGGGGCGGGGTTTAGTTGGGGCCAAGACTCGGGCGGTTTTCGGGGGAAGCCCCATTCGGGATGGGGGACGGAGGTTTTCGAGCCTGTTCATCCTGCCAAGGCAACTGGGTCTTACCAGCGGCCCTTTCTTGTTGCCTTTCCCATGGACTCTTCCTTTTCTTTAAGGGCGGAGGGCTTGGAGGACGGCTCTGCCCCGGGGCCTCTGTTGCTGGTTCCCGGGGCTGTGGGGAATGCCTGCTATCAGTTCTAGGGCAGTTTGCCCCTGCCTGGGTTTTCTGCTTTTGAGCGGAGTTTTTTGCCCATCCAGTTTGCTTGCTTCCCACTTTTGCTGGCGTGTTTTCGAATCTTTAGTGTCGGTCACAGCCCTCTGTTCTGGTGGCCATTTCCCTCTCCATGGGTAGTTAGCTTCAGGAAATGACAAGGGTCTCTCTCCAGAAAATCAGCATTGAATGTAATGAAGTATAGTACTGATTTCTGGGTGAGACCCGGTGGCTCCTTGATCTCCCCCCCCCCTCCCCATGCTTCCAGGTCGTCGGGTGGGTGCTTATATCTGCTCCAGAACTGACAGCTCAGACCCCAGCAGATGGTGAGCCACTTTAACCCCCTTCCCCCAGATAAGTGGGGAAGGTAGGGCAAACACACTCATGCTAGTTTTGAGAGAATTCAATCATTTATTTACATAGTTTCTGGAGTTCAATAGGTGGGTTTTGATGATTCGGTCTCTTTTGAACTCAGCAGTGTTTTGTCTTGACTCTTGACTTTTTGGTTGCTTTTCCAGTGAAGTGGCAAACGGTCACTGCTCCTTACACCTCTGAGGAAGGGCCACGTTCAGGCACTGGTCCTCGGTAGGTCTAAAGCTCTCCATGGCCGATGCAGCATAGCAGATGTGAATCATCTCAGTGTATTACTTCAGGGAGGCACTGAAGCTCACCCAGAAATTGGTGTTTCATTACATTCAATACTGTTATTTTATTTTTTTCCATGCACCAGGGCATTGTCTCATATAAACAGGGGTGCAGCCCAATTGTAAAGCTCTGGGGAGCCACTGAGGAGCTTCTAGAAAGGGCATTTCATTACATTCGTCACACAATTTTTATTAAGTACTGAAGACTTCATAACCACATTTGTTGATTAATTGAAATATTTGCCACAGGTATCTTTTGCAAGGAGGTCGAGTATTTTCAGTATGCTCAGATTTCCTCAACATGGCCGTCCCTCTCTTTGGTAAGTTTCTTCTTCCTGGACCCATTTTGTGAATTATCCCCTATGTATACAAACTTGCTTTATCATATTTATAACTTACTTATTACTTTATTTACAATTTGCACTCAAGATCTCCCCTAATGTGTCTCGAGATAATAATTCTTTCTTATTGTGATCTGTGTATTGAGGTATTTTATTTAAAAGTTTACTCCTTATAAATTTAGTGCTTATGTATTGCAGTGCTAAGAAAAGTTTTAACCTTCAATAACAGTGTTTGTTTTTAAACTAAGATTATCTAGTGAATTTCTTCATCTGATTTGTTGTCACATATAAAAATCCAGTGGTAGGACAGGTGGCATGATCGTGAATGGTTGTCATAACTGTTTTTGTGCTTCATCTCAACATACCTGCATTTAAGAAAGCTTTAGTGATTTTTCAGTGCTTGCAACTCCAGTCAGTCCATTATTTCTCCAACCTCCGTCAAGTTCTTTATTATATTTTGTATCCACAATACCTCTGATTTCTATTTATTAAGCTCAAATCTTTTGGATGAGTAATAGACACCATATGATTACATGATAATTCAAAGCACATTATTATTTTTTTGCTGCTGCTTGAAATTAATATTGATTTGCAGTTTGTTGGTGTTCATTGGTAATTTCAGCAGTGTTTGCATTAATGAAGCAATATGCATTTTTATAGAAACTGGAGTACATTTTATGATATATAGTATGTAGTTATTTGTTTCTAAATTTACTTTCGATGACGTTGATGAGGTTGAATAGTTTTTGTAATTGTTTTTGTGGTAGGTATTTTATTATTGTGGTTCTAGGTTAATATTTTTATATATATGTATTTTTTAAATTTGTAGATTCTTTATAGAAGATAAAACTGGAGAATACTGTATAGTGAAATCATATTTTAGGTAGTGACCCAGATATCACCAACATAATACTTGTTTAAAATGGTAATAACAGAATCTTCTTCCCTTTCGGTGTTATGGGTTTTAGCTTTCGAGCTGCCCTGGACCTCTAGCCTTGTAGCCTCAGGTATTTCTCCCAGATATGTCATTGTCCTAACACCCACACCTGTGTAGGACCCCACTTGTGTACTCAGCAAGAGCTTTGGGCTATACTGTTGTGTGTGATCCTTGTCACTTCTTACACATTTGACTGTCTTGCCTTCACATGTTAGTTTCTTCACCAAAATAGATAAATAATAGCAGTAAGAGTTTACTTTTCAAAGGAAGGTTGTACTAAAATTAAAACATGGCTGCAAGTCACCAACCCTGCACAAGAATAATGTTCATACATGACAGTGTTGCTCCAAGCCATCATGTTTAGAAAGGCATTTGTGACTGACTGTATTTGGCCACCTCACTCTACTTTTGTATATTTGATCATCAAATCCATTGCTTCTGTTAAGTAATGAATGGCTTTTTAGTGATTTTAGTAATGGCAAGGGTGTTATCTTTCCTAAATAATGAGCATGTTTAATGTTTATTTTGTCTATATCATTTTGTGTAATAGTATACCGTAAATAGACAAAGTAGAGAAATAATTCTTTAGTTTGTATGTATAGCATGTAATTACTCATTGGTGATTACCTATTTGTAGTTACAGGAAGAAATCTATGCTTGTGTTGTTCCATCCTTTTTATATATAATATCGTAAGTAATTCAAAACTTCCAGCGGTTTGAGTACACACACTACTTCCTGCTGGAATTTATTCAAATTATCTGCCATTACATTAGTGAAGAGATGTTTTATCTTTTCTACATTCTATTCTATCTTTTTCCATTTATTAAAGTTGTGCTGCTTGCTTCTGGCTCATAGTTCCCGGTAGGCATAAGAACTCCTGTAACTGATGACCCCAAACTAATAAAGCACATATCAGTTTGGATAACTTCAGGGAGCTTCCGGGGCTCACCACAAAAACTAGTCTATGTTTTCTTTCTAATACTTTTTACCAAAATGTACTGTAGTTACCACATCCACTCTTTCTGTGCTCTCATCATTACTACTCTTGGCTTTACATACATTTATAGAACAATAGTGAAAATGCTAGGCTCTTGGTGACAAACTTGGTATGCTGGACACAAGTGTCGTTTTGGCATAACCATCATCATGACCCCTCTCATCATGACTAGAAAGTTCGTGGAAATTTGAGATCAACTTGCTACTGTGATCAACCACTGGGAAAGAAATACAGTGGTACCTTCGTTTATGATTCTAATCCATTCCCAGGGATGCGTCATACACCAATAAATCGTAACCCAAAACAAATTTTCCCATAAGAAATAATGTAAATTGCGTTAATCCGTTCCCAACACCCAAAAATATTAACTTAAAAATACATTCTATACCAAATACCACACATATTTTATACTACAGTACAGTACCCCTCTGTAGTACTGTAGTATTACAGAAGGGTACTGTAACTAAACCTCCCCTCCTCTTTACAGTACAGTATATCTACTTTTATTAAGGACTCTTGTTGGCATATAGAAGACAATGAGGAAGAGGAGAGGTGTTAGTATTTATAGGGGGAGTCCCCTTCCATTTATAACATCAGGCAGTGATAACTCTTTTGGGGTACTCTCTCTCCTACGATTTGCAGGTACAGTATACCACTAGGACCTGGTTGTGGCTGACTGCTTGCTTGTTTCACTAAGAATCTGTTTAAAGACACTTATTTTTCTCTGTTTTAACACTTGTCTGTAGTGAGACGTCACATTCATTCACTTTGAATATCTTATTTTTCCTCTGTCGTCATTCTCACAACTATTTTCTTAGGTTGAAATTTACCACTGACTTTTTTGGAACCCATGGCATGATATATAATAAAAACTTTCATGTTCAGAAACCAAAAAAGCAGAAAACAATGAAATTCTTTACAAAGAATTCAAGTGCGGTCGCGGTCGTCACCCTACAGGATACACTGGTAAACAACTGAGTGTGCCTCGCCCCGCACCCTCAGCACAACATGCTCGTCTGACCCATACACATATCAACAGGCGTCGTATTCCAAGTTAAACGTCGTACACCAATTCAAATTTTATGATGAATGTGACGTCGTATACCAAAAAAATCGTACTCTAGGGCAGTCGTACACCAGGGTACAACTGTACCTATAAAACTCTACTTCCCTACCAGAATATTATTGAAAAATTGCCAAACACCAAACAACTCTCTGAAAAAGCTAATCTACACTAAGGCAACTGCATACCCAGAATGTCACCAGTTGGTGCCCTGAGCTACCTGAGGGTTAAGAAAAGCCAGCCCTCTCTCACTCATTTGATGATGAAGTGTAAAGTTGCTACAAGCTTTTCTGATTTAAGACTTCTCACTTTCATCGAAGTAAATTGATTCTTTTCTTGGATGGTAGCCCAATGTAGGAGCATTCTTTGGTATATACATTTGTATCATGGATACCAGTTCCCTTGAGCCTCTTGCTTTATTCTGCCTAGACTTTATTTCAGGTCTCCTTCCTTGAAGTAGCCACAAAGATTGGCTTCCACTAGAATTTCTTCCCGAGAGCCTCCCTCTACAGGAAGATAGACTCACAGGGATGGTTACTAAACCTACCAGGAAAGATAATTCTGTCAGGCCAGGGGCAATACTAATGAGCTAGGGAAACCAGCATTAGGCATGTAGAACTGGAGGTCCATTTCTCAGGGTCCACACAACTAGGGAGGCATAGAAGTATACATATATGAAGCAAATACTAAAAGAAGGAATGAGTACACCAAAGGATGGCCATTACTTATCTGAGAAACCAGGACCCTCAGGAGTGGAAGACACATCAACACAGCCACACCAAACCTAATGACTGATGATTTGCCTGAGTTGAGCCAGTAGCTAGGGGTGCTGCCTTACTACTATATGGATTGTCTTCTGGTGGCTTTTTCTTGGTCTAAGTTATAGAATCCTGAGCTTCCTGCACCTTTATATAAGGGGCCAGGTATTAGCTTCTGGTCCCTAGTGGATATACAATAACTTGCAAGGGTGTGATATGATTTGGGTGCAGGTACACAGGTTTCTAGCAGCAAGAAGCTATCATAGGGGCCTTCACAGAAAAAATATTTGAGTAAAAATGAATAGCCCCTTTCAGATCAAAATCAAGCAATTGCACTTAGGTCTCCCCTTCTGCCTCAACTTTCCTATGCACAATTTAGGTCCTTTAGGTCCAGTTTAGTTGGCGTATGACTGCCTCTGTTGGCAGTCATTTGTGATGTCTTGAGAGGTCTTGGATAGGCTTAGTATTTATGAATGCCCTTCTGGCAGTCACTTAGGGTGATCTTTAGTGATCCGTTAACACTTTTATAAACCTCTTAGGATGCTTCAACATTCCATGTGGTGACACATTTTCACCCTGTCTGATTGTTTCATTATTCTGGTTAATAGGTATTGCTCAGATAGGTGCTTTTTTCATTTATAAGAACTATATTTTATCTTTAGATCACATGTATTAACAATTTATCTTAATAAGTAGTGATAATGTCTTCTCACAGACATAACAACATAGGATAAAAACCCACACATATGTCTTTGTGTATTTTATGTAAAGATTTACACCGTCATTCGCACATTCCTGAGTGCTTTATCAAGGTCTGAGTGTATGGTTAAGATGAGACTTACATCTCAATGGTATTAGCTGTTGAGATGTAAGAAAGAAGAAATACCTGAAACAATATCCACTGGGAAGGGAAGAGCCAAAAAAGGGAGACAGACAATAGAGCTAAGGACCAAGGCAAATCGAATGACTGTCAACACAAACTGCTGACATGCAAAATGGGCATAGTAGAATGTAGCAATTGCTTCTTGGAGCATGGGTGTACAGCTTGGGCTAAGCCACTGAAGCTGCCATGGCAAGCAAACAAGGCACTCATTCGTGACCCCAAGCCAAGCAAATCAACATCGTCACAAAGCTAGTCTGAAGAAAGCTTCATGAGGGCCAGGAAATGGACGACTGTATCCAAGTGCAAGCGAACCCATAAGTCATCTGCCATGAGGGCTGTAGACAGCAATGGCAACTGGGCATGGAGCTGCATCAACCCTCATGTTCCAAGAAAGAGCGAGAGGAAACATGCAGTCATTAAGTGACTTAAAAGTAGTCTCTCATATACAGTGTGTGTACTCACCTATTTGTGCTTGCGGGGTTGAGCTTTGGCTCTTTGGTCCCACCTCTCAACTGTCAATCAACTGGTGTACAGATTCCTGAGCCTACTGGCTCTATCATATCTACATTTGAAACTGTGTATGGAGTCAGCCTCCACCACATCAGTGCCTAATGCATTCCATCTGTTAACTCCTCTGACACTGAAAAAGTTCCTTCTAACGTCTCTGTGGCTCATGTGGGTACTCAGTTTCCACCTTTGTCCCCTTGTTCGCGTCCTACCAGTGTTGAATAGTTTATCCTTGTTTACCCAGTCGATTCCTCTGAGGATTTTGTAGGTTGTGATCATGTCTCCCCTTACTCTTCTGTCTTCCGGTGTCGTTAGGTGCATTGTGTGTGTGTGTGTGTGTGTGTGTGTGTGTGTGTGTGTATATATATATATGTATGTATGTATGTAGATCATCCGAAGTGTCATAAAATCTAGCCAGCCTGCCGTCTACCCTCATGCCTATGATGTGCGTGAGTGTGCCACTTTTTCGGTAATCTAATATGTCTTTGGCTGATATTCATGTGTGATGGTTTTGGTGGTTGAACAGAGTTTTGGCAGCCAGTTATCTTGTGAACACTTCCAGTCTTCACCCGCCTTGTGTGGCCGTAGATTGCGTGCCACGGCTTGAACAGGTCTCTTCTTCGTCTTCTTACCTATGGTGCTTCCTCCTCTCTAGTAAGTGCCCTTTCTTCTTTCTCCATGGGTAATTAGCTTCTGGGAGCCATAAGGGGCTTCCCCAGAGTACCAGCATTGAGCGTAATGAAGTGCCAATATCTGGGTGATCCTTGGTAATTCCCTGACAATGTCACTCTCCCCCACTGGGGGGGCGGGTTCCATTATAAGAACTCATGATGAAGCAGCCAGCTGATGAGACTGCTCCCTTCTTCCTCTCCCCAAATAAGTGGGGAAGGTAGTGCGAACTAGTTCGTACTAGTTTCATAAATTTTTTATTGTTTATATTGTTGAGGGTATTTTTTATTTTTTTTTGGGGGGGGGGGGGCGTTTTGAAGCTGCGGTCTTGTTTCTAGCCAAGCAACGGTCTGTTTTGTTTTGCTGACTTTCTGGGTGCTTTTTCCTGGTGGAGAAAGACATGAATAAATTTACTTAAAATTTTTCACACTTAACACTGCTTCCTGCGGCCTCTCTGAGAGGGGCCAGGTTCTGGCTCATGCTCCCTAGTAGGCCAAGTAAGATCTTCGCGACTGATGGCAACTTGTAGTTTGGCACTATATCGGTATAGTAGCTTCATGGAGTCGCTGGGGCTCACCCAGAAATTGGCATTTCATTGCATTCTTTGCTGGCTTTTTGAAACTTTGAAGGTCATATAGTCATATATGCTTGTCCAGTGGCCACTGACCTGAAAGACAAATTCATCAATTTTAGTTTACCGAGTAATGAAAAAATTCTCAAATATAAATTACTATTACTGTTTTATATATATTATATTTTTGTCTATAGTTAGGTTTATGTTAGAATAGGTATCATGGTACTGTTAGCAATTTTTTGCATTTGCAATTTTTGGGTGAAGCCTTTACAAAGGTGCATTTAAAATGCATTCATAAACAAGGAGGTAGGTGCTGGATTAATAAGTATTTGACCAGTCTTTATGAGGATGGGCTGAGGTAAAAGACCCATTTGCTTTAACCACTTATCTGTGCCAACCGAGTATTCTCGGTCGGTGGGAAACTGTGCCAACCGAGAAAACTCTTTTTGATTTTTTCGTACCCATTCTAAATGTGTGCAAAGTTGATTGTGTACAAAATGGATTCTTAGGACCTCCAGTGAGAGGCAGCCATCTTGGAAAAAATTCCTAGAATGCCCTAGGGCTACTGGCTGGGTTAGTACTGAGTGAGCAACCAACCATGGGTGGCGCATGCGCCTCTGGCTCCCAAACACCTGTCCGACACAGTGTTGAAAGATCGCGCTTTGTCGGTGAAATTCAAACCTTATTGTTTGAAGAACATAAGGGTCATAATATTGGTGAAGCTAGGTGCAATAAGGACCTAACACAAAGGCCGGATGCAAGTATTACAGCACCTATGAGGAGGATACAATGAGCGTATCCAGTTGTAGCTCTGAACGCCACCTTTGCCCACGTATGCTATCTCCAATTTATTTAGATGATATATAGATGAATTGTTTTCTGCGTTCAGTGATGATGCATCTGATACAAGTAGCATAGATGAACAGTGTTAGTGGCTTCCATGGTTGTGTTTTCCATAGATATTTTCAAGAATAGCTGAATATCTTCCAGACTAATGGACACTCTTTGAGGCTGGCTGAATCTCTTCCTGTGTGGGACCTTAGAAAGCGATCTTTTCACGCCTACCTTACAAATTGATCTTTTCCTGTAATCTCTTCAAGACTCTGTAAGGTTTTACAAGCTTGGCTACATACCACCTACAGGTACTAATGCCAAGGGTGTATGTGAGTGTGTTATTTGCAAGCACACAGAACAAAGAAACAGGAAGCATAAATCTATCTGTACCTAGTGCAACAAGAGCGAAGTCGCGCTGTGTACCATGGACTACTTCGTTGATTATTACTCACTTCCGAAGTATTGAGTGTGTAATACAGTGTGTAACTATAAATAGTGTGTGAAACTACATATTGTAATTTTAGTAAATTTTTAACAAGTAATATTGCAACAATAAACATTTATTGTGGACACATGTATCACAGTTCCATGGAACATTATGAACGTTCTACTGTATGCATATTGTAAAGGACACAAATATGCATCATATACAATAAAAAAAAAACTGCATTGGAAATACATAGAACAAATAATTGAAAATATATTTGTGGCTACACCTGGTGCTTAAATGACCCGCGCGACCGTGTATGGGCGAGTCACGCACGGGCGACCAGCCCCTGATGATGTCACAGCGCACCTTGTCCACGTCCCCACAGCCAAAGTAAGTGGAATTTGGTATTTATTTTTACATAGACATGTTCAGGAAAGGGAATTTATCATTTTACGAAGAAAAAGAATTTTTGGGAACACTTTATTTCATGCGCACGGGGAATTTCACAATAAACTTGGCGCAGCATGGTGGTTAAAGATATAACCTGAATCTATCAAATGGGTTGAATCTAACACATGAACAAGAAAATGAGCTGCCATATCTTGTGTGACAATTCCTTAAGAATCAGCAGCCCAGCCTCGTAGACAATAATCAATAATCTTTATTAATTATAAAGAATCTCCTTATATAAATACAGTACATCTTGAATAATGAGTCAGAAGCATTATATTAGCATACCTGTCATCTTGTTTTATATTACATGTCGGGAATTTTCAGACAAAGCACGGGAATAGGGGTCTTGAAAGGAATGTGATATTGTTTTAGATCATGGGGAACAAAAAAATGTTTGAAAAACACTGCTATAAAGTACCTGTACTATCTTTACTTTATATTTGCAAATATACTATAGTATATGTTCTAAGGTAATTTACTTGTGCTAAATATTTATACAGTATTTGTAAATGTGATTATGTAAAAATTGATATGAGCACCTTACAAATCAAGATATTCACTCGTATTCATAATGAAAGTTAAAAATTTCTTGTTATATAATATGGTTGTAGACCGATAGTGAGAAGCCATTTTGATCCAGAATACTTTATCGGTCTTCTAATGTGCTTGATGATGGAAATTAGTTACCTTCTGACGGTCAGCAGTATGAGCTGCTCTTGAAATTTGCAAGTTAAAACAAACCACAAATAATATTCCATATTCAATTATTGTGGTGATAGTAATTATGAGGAAGTTTGAGTACTGTACTATAGGGAGATGTGCACTATAGGGAGATGTGTTGGCAGTTGCATGTAGACCTAGTGGTGGCTAGAGCTTGCAGAGTTATTTTAATTTATTTTCTGCTGTATGAACTAGCATTTAATGGAATTTATGATGGATATTTTTTAACACTAACGTTGAAAAATATTCTCTGATATTTATCAAATCAATATTTAGCAGAATGTTTGGCACTGTAGTATCTCGTTGATACTGGTATGGAGTTTATTATAGCTTGGCATTATCAATGCTTATTGTCTTGTAGATATTTACTCCATTCATATCAGTATAAAGCCAAAATTTGTATGCTCTGAATATTGTCGATTTTGAATTAAGACTTTGGAAATTGGCTTCAATTTTGGCAAATGGGTTGTTTTGTTTTGCACTGGATGAAAATGGAAACCCCAGCTTCACTGTTGTTAGCTAATAAAGGTCCTCAGCTTTCTCATTTTAAGGAGCATATTCCTGTTTGAATGTATATTTTTACTAATAATCAGCAGTTTTATTCTTGGCTTTAAGCTCAATTTAAATTATTTTATTGATTTTAATTTTAATGAATTAGTAGTGTATAAAACTCATTTTCACATTTCTCACACTTTACTGGAAATGTACCTGTTATTGCAAAGTCCTGCACCCAGATTACTAAATGAATAAAAAATTTTACTTTTGCAGGAACTGTAGAAGTTCAAGAGCAAGCAGTTGTTTCCATCAGCTACCGCCGCTGGTCCAGTGTTCACCTGCTCCACCATCAACACTGCTTTCATTCTTCACCTCAACACAAGCGCTTCTCTCAAGACATGGAAAACATTAAAGGCAAAGATATGAGGTAAAAACTCAAATGATTGGACTTGCAGGAAAAAAATGTGAAGACAAAATTTAATGATAATGTATTTTATGATTAGAATTAGTGTGTGAAGATATCTGTTATGATGCTGTTATGATCTGGGTGTACTCATGTCGGAAGACCTTACCTTTAAAGAACACAATAAAGTAGCCGTCACAACTGCAAGAAAAATGACAGGTTGGATAACAAGAACTTTTCACACTAGAGATGCTATACCGATGATGATACTTTTCAAAACGCTTGTGCTCTCTTAGAGTGGAGTACTGCTGCACAATGACAGCCCCTTTCAAAGCTGGAGAAATATCTGACCTGGAGAGCGTGCAGAGATCCTTTACTGCTAGAATCCACTCAGTAAAACATCTAAATTACTGGGACTGACTAAAGAGCCTAAATCTGTACTCGCTTGAGCGCAGGCGGGAGAGATACATAATAATTTACACGTGGAAAATAATTGAGGGGCTGGTCCCAAACCTGCACACAGAAATAACATCACATGAGACCAGAAGACATGGCAGGATGTGCAGAATACCCCCGTTAAAAAGCAGAGGTGCAACAGGTACTCTGAGAGAGAACTCTATCAACATCAGAGGCCCGAGACTGTTCAACACGATTCCACTACACATAAGGGGCATAACTGGCAGACCCCTCACAGTGTTCAAGAGAGAACTGGATAAGCACCTCCAAAGGATACCTGATCAACCAGGCTGTGACTCATACATCAGGCTGCGAGCAGCCGCGTCTAACAGCCTGGCTGATCAGTCCAGCAACCAGGAGGCCTGGTCGACGACCAGGCCGCGGGGACACTAAGCCCCGGAAGCACCTCGAGGCAAGGTAACCACATACATACAGTGTGAATAGCTATGGCAGAAGTTAGAGAACCAAAATTTCATATTAACAATCTGGATCATATTCCAGCCCTGATCTAGGTTTTGGCATACTTAGACCCATAAATGATATATAAGCAATAAATTTTGGTCAAATAAATATTAAATAGCCTCTGAAAAAGCATTTTTGTGGTTCTGACCTCCCCACTGGACTTTGACACAGTCATAAACAGCATATCCATGCAATCTGCACCAGACCTGGAATCCTGAGATTCTATATTCATGAAGAATTGCAAAAAATCAATATCACAGGCCCTAAAAAAATTTTGGAGATACAGCCTAGATACTGGTGTTTTCCCTGACTTACTTAAACAGTAGAGATCACACCACTTCACAAAGTAGGTAGTAAAGCAGCTACACAAATTATAGACTATTAGCTTTAACATCACATAACATAGAAATCTTTGAAAGAGTGCTAAAAAAACAAAAATAAAATACAGTGGTACCTCGCATAACGATCGCCCCAAAAGACGAACATTTTGGGTAACGAACGGCCCGATCGGCGTCAAATCGTCCCGTATGACGAACGCTGGTTTGAGTAACGTCAACACCACATGGTGGGCCAGGTGGGGTCGCGCTGCTTCTTGCACATTCTTAGACGCCTCCGACGATGCACATAAATTATGTTGTTCTTGTTTAAAGATGCTAATGATGCTGGGATATAAAAGGGTGACTGCTGAGATGTTGCAAAGCATTGACGTTTTTGTAGGAAAAAAGAAATGAAATGTCTGATATACAACAAATGTCAAAAAGGTTCATTCGGTGTTCGGCAGGTAGGCTGCTCCATTATAACAATCTTTCTTTGTTTCAAATGTGTTCCATTTGTTTTGTATTTGTCATTTACGTCTCAATAATGGAGAAGCCTACCTTACATACACTGAATAAACCATTATGACATTTTCCTTTCTTCAAATGTGTTCAACATTTATTTTTCATTTGTCTTATAGCAAAATGTTCGTTCGGTGGTCGGCAGGTAGGCTGCTCCATGTTTCTTACATACAAAAAACGTAAATAATAAAAAAAATGAAGATTTTTGAAAACCAGTACAAATGTCAAAAAGGTTCGTTCGGTCGTCTACAGGTCGGCTGCTCCATGTTTCTTAAATAAAAAAAAAACGAAAAATAAAAGAACTGTTGAAACCATTTGAAAAATGGACAAATGCCATAAAGGTTCGTTCAGTGTTTGTCGGGTAGGCTGCTCCATTATTGAGACATAAGTGACAAATACAAAACAAATGGAACACATTTGAAACAAAGAAAGATTGTCATAATGGAGCAGCCTACCCAACAAACACTGAACGAACAATATGCTATAACGAATATGAAAGACAAGGGCTGCTGGCTGGGTTAGTACTGCGTGAGCAACCATTTGTGGCACACGTGCCTCTGGCTCTCAAACACCTGTCCCACACGGTGTTGAAAGACTGCGCTCAGTCGGTGCAATTCAGACCCTATTGTTTGAAGAACATAAGGGTCATAACATTGGTGAAGCTAGGCGCAATAAGGGCTTAACACAACGGTTGGATGCCAGTGATACAGCACCTATGAGGATGATACAGCGAGCGTATCCAGGTGTAGCTCTGAGCCCCACCCTTGCCATCTCGAATTTATATAGATGATACATAGATGAATCGTTTTCTGCGTTCAGTGATGATGCATCTGATACAAGTAGCATAGATGAACAGTGTTAGCAGCTTCCATGGTGGTGTTGTTCATTGATATTTTCAAGAATACCTGAATCTCTTCCTGACTGATGGACACTCTTTGAGGCTAACTGAATCTCTTCCTGTGTGGGACCTTACAAAGCGATCTTTTCAAGACTACCTTACAAATTGAGCTTTTCCTATAATTGTTTCAATACTACCATATGCTTTACAAGCTTGGCTACATACCACCTACAAGTACTAAAGCCAAGGGTGCACGCGAGTGCGTTATTTGCAAGCACACAGAACGATGAAACAGGAGACGAAAATCTATCTGTAGCTGGTGCAAGGAGAGCAAAGTCGCGCTGTGTACCATGGACTACTTCATCGACTATTACGCACCTCCAAAGTACTGAGTGTGTAATACAGTGTATTATTGTGTAAATAGTATGTGAAACTGTACATATTGTAATTTTAGTGAATTTTTACCACGTAATATTGTGACAATAAACATTTATTGTGGACACATTACTGACACATGTATCACAGTTTCATGGAAAATTATGAACATTCTACTGTATACATATTGTAAAGGTCACAAATATGCATCATATACGATAAAAGAAACAAATAAAACCGCATTGGAAATGCATAGAAAAAATATTTGAAAATATATTTGTGGCAACACGCGGTGCTTGAATGGCCTGCGCGACCGTGTCTGGGAGCTTCACACACGGGCGACCAGGCCCTGATGACGTCACAGCGCACCTCGTCCACGCCCTCACAGCCAAAGTAAGTGGAATTTGGTAATTATTTTTACATAGACATGTTCAGGGACGGTAATTTATCATTTTGCAAAGAAAAATATTTTGGGGAACATTTGATGTCATGCACACTGGGGGAATTTCACAATAAACACAGTGCACCACACTGGTTATATGGGGGACACTCGTTTTGTATGACGTCCGTTTCACATGACGAACATGGAACGGATTAAATTCGTTATGCGAGGTACCACTGTACTTGGAATTAGTGTCTACATAACCCTGGGCAACATAGATTCAAAACCGGGTACTCGTGCCTCTCACAATTGTTAGACCACATTGACATGGTCTTAGATGCCTTGGAATACATGTAAAATGTAATATATGCACAAGATTTCACAAAAGTTTTAGACAAATGGGACGATGGTGTTATTGTACACAAAATGCGTACAATAACACCAACATTTCTTTTAACAGGCTCCCCGGCATCCCTCCCACCCCCCGGTCGGCGTTGTCTTTCGTGTATTTTGACATCCAGCCTAAGAACTGCAGGTTGGGTCGCCGGCACGAGGGTCTGGGGCTCCCCCTTCCCCCTCCCAGGGAGGGGTGGGTTGCGCAGACTGTGGTGCAGCAACATGATGACATCATGCTCGTTTGCTAATTTTCGTTTAGAGAGTTCTATCCACTTGTTTGGCTTTCGGTAGCAATAATCTCACTCGAATAGGGGGTTTGTTTTGGGGCGTTTATCTTTCTGGGTTTGCCCCACAAAACCCAATTTTGTGGGGCAATCAGGTATCAAAATTGGTTCATTATATAGAGGGACCTGTTAAAAGGAAAACCAGATTTTGAAAGTTGCACTGTATATGTTTTATCCTTATTTTATTTTACAGGTCAGCCATAAGTGTCGAGCCGACTCATGTAGAAATTATTGATGAATACGGAGGTCAGCACCGTCTAGACCTGAAGATACTAGCTACAGATGATACCTGGGGAGCACCATCCCTGCTTTCTGCTAAGGTTCATGATGGCAAGGGCTCGGCAGTCTTCTCGCAGGTGACATAATGAATTAATACCTATTAAACAAATTAGCTTGTCTTTGATTTAATAATACACTAATATATATATTTTTATTCTGTTGCCTTTTTAATTTGCATGTACAGTATTTACAACTTGGTGCAAGATGTGCAATGCTAGGCTGATCTTGGATCAATGGTTACGAGATTATCACTCACCAGAACTGCTTAGTGCATAAACATGTAGATTGTAATATATAACATATCTGTCCAGCATAATAATAGCATGAACAGTACAGTATGTTTTAGTGCCTAAAGAATATATTATTATGCACATATTAACGACACAAATTTGTTGTGTGTATAAATGTTCTATACAATTTATTATAGATAGTTCTCAAATTACACACTATTGCATAATAAAACTGCAAAAAAAGCAGTGAGAAAACAATGAAATGAATCGGTATAAATATATTCGTGGCAACTCCCACTGACCGCCTGACCCAGACGACCCCCCTCAGGGTGCCACATCCCAACCCATCCTTTTTAAAATTTTGTTGCTTTTTGCTTGTATGCACGCTTTGGCCAAAAATGAACATACAGGGGTACCTCGGATTACGAGCGTCCCTGTTTACGAGTTTTTCAGATTAAGAGCAGTATTTGCTCGGAAAATTTACTTAGGAATACGAGCGTTGCCTTGAAATACGAGGGTGTTGATACGCGTACAAGCCGACCTAGCGCGTGGTGGCACGGCGATCGCCTCTCAGTTTACCAGTGCCTCGCGCCCAGTGACTATCCCGCCTGAATTCTTCACCAGGATTTACAGTGCTTTGTTGGATTTTTGGCCATTTGAGCATAAAAGTTATTATATATCTCACAATAGGTCCCAAGAAAGCCAGTGGTAAGGTTCAACCTAAGAAAATAGTTGTGAGTAGAGGCAGTAGAGGATGTTCCTTCCTCATTAAGAAAATGTGTGAAATACAGTATGGGAAGAACTGCAAAGTTTTGCTGAAAAAACTCACCCAGATAAAGCTATAGCAGGCCTTTGCATTGACCTTTTAATTGACAATGTGATGTCTTACTACAGACAAGTGTTAAAATGCAGGGAAAAACAAATGTCTTTAGACAGTTTCTTAGTAAGACAAGCAAGCAGTGAGCCACAAGCACGTCCTATTGGTATGCAGACAAAACGTGCCAGAGAATGCACTCCAGAGAGGTCCTTACTGTCTGATGTTATAATGTGAGGGGACTCCCCTTCCAAACAGTAACACCTCTCCTCCTTCCCCCTCCTCACCATCTTCCATACGCCAACAGGAGTCATCAGCAAGGGTAAGTAATAACTTGAACATACTTTTGTAGTGTAGATTTCGATGAATTGTTATAAAATTTAATCTGAAGTGAGGTTTTTGGGTAGTCAGGAACTGATTAATTCATTTCCCATTATTTCTTATGGGGAAATTAGCTTCGGTTTACAAGTTTTTGGATTACGAGTTGTCTCCAGGAACGGATTAAACTCTTAAACTGAGGTACCCCTGTACAGTAATTTGAAATGAAATTGGCTCACGAAAGTGATGTACTGTCCTGTTTTCTGTTTTGAGTCCTCCGGCTTACTCGGTTAGGTCAGGAGAGGAAACATTCAATTAACGATTTTCATGACTTTTGTAACCTTAGGAGAACTTTTAGCCCTCCTAACCTACCAGTGAACCCTTAACTTGCTATTTTTCAAGAAAACAAAAATCCAAAAATTGTTTTCAATTATTTTTCATTTTCTAATTATGTCCATTTGTTGGGGGAGCCCCAACAGCTCCCCAGAGCTATCCAGGCTGATATTATTAATGAAATGTCAGACTTTGGCATCAGTCATGTGTATGGAGTTCTGTGGGCCTACCAGGGACCACGAGCCAGAACCTGGCCCCCCTCAGAAGAGGCACAAGGAGCAATGGCCTATAGAAACCCCAGTGTGGTTGTAAGCATTCTATGTCTGCCATTGACCGGGTCAGGCACCCAGAGAGGTAGGCGTCCCAAAACAAACCCCCATTCTGGTGAAAATTGCTATGAAAAACTGAACAAGTGAATAGAACTCCCTAAACAGAAACGAGCAAACGAATATGACGTTACACGTCGCCGCGCTGCTGTCTGCGCAGCTCCCCCTTCCCCGGGAGGGGGAAGTGGAAGCCCCGTGATTGTTCCAACACTGTACCCTGTGTGTGGTGGCTGTCTTCCAGGGATGCGCGAACCAGGAGTCATTCTACAGTACTTGGGATGCATGCGCCTAGGGTACCCTTTCCTAGGTGTCCTGTAAGTGCTGCCCTTGGGGCTTGGGGGCCACCTTCCACAAGTTTCTTGGGTCCTGCCTCTGCTGGGCCGTTTTACTGCTCGGTTTTTCGGCCGCCCTTTGGAAACTTGGGTGTTTTGTCTCCCTTGTTTACCTTAAGGTAAGAGGCAGTTTGCACTAGTAAGGGGTGCAGGATACTGAGCAGCTTGTTTTCGACATTCATAGTGGCCGGCTCTGTTCCTTTTGGGTACGCTGTCCTATTGCGGGGTTTTATTTTTATTTTTGTCGTGTTGCCTGGTGGGTGGGGGGGAGGTCTGCCTTGGTTGTTGCCCCCATTGTACCTGTCTGCATACGGTTATCTCTTCAGGTGGTACCCCCTGCTAGGTCCCCGTGAGTGTACACATCCCTGGGGTTCAGCTTTATAGTGTTGCTTGGTAGCCTTGGGTGCCGGTTAGCAATAAGGGACCGACTAAACAAAGCCAAAGCAGCCTTAGGAAAACTGAGGAGATTCCGAAGCCTCAGTACAAACATTCAGATCCACCTATATAAGACTCTAGTTCGGCTACATCTAGAGTATCCCCCAGTACCACTACACACTATAAAGAAAACTAACATGCAGAAACTGCAAGCAGTGCAAAATAAGGCGCTAAGGAGAGCAGCAAAACACCGTCCACCACAAGATCAGACAATCCAGAATCTCCATGAGCTCCTGAACATACAGCCAATAAACTTCAGTCTGCAGCACCAAGCCATCAGGGTGTGGAACACCATCGAAATGTTGGAGGACCCAATGTTAGCAGGCTACTCCAAGATGAGATGCTCTGCTCCCACAGCTTGTGCCCCAAGAGCCGTGATTTACTAGACAAAAACCCAGCCCCACAGTACATAATTCCCAGATGAAATACTGACCAGAAATCCTTCCCCCAATAATTGGAAAAATTTAGTATATGTGTGTGTATATGTGTAAAGTTGTGTATATGTATATAGGTATATATATGTATGCGTATGTATGAATAACTCAATAAATAATAATAAAATAAAGAGCCTTAAACAGAACAACATGTGCGGAAGCATCAGAGTGTGTGTGTATATGAATGCTACACAATATTCATCTATAGACATCCACATATAGTGAAACACATGTGGAGAACCTCTCACACACTCACTGCTCCCTGATAAGAGAGAGAGCAAGCTTAGCTTAGCTGCCAACACCCACACATTGTGTCAGCAAGGCGGACAGCCCACCTACTTTCATACCTCTCACTGTATTTCCCACTTCTAAACTTCCCTTCACCTATGCCTCTCCTTCCACCCCCTGCACCCCCCCCCCCCAAAAAAAAAAGTATCCTGCCTGAGATTCCCTGAGAGTGAGTTCCGTCTCAGAACCCTGGGAAACCTCGCGGGGGCACGCGGGTCCGATAGATGTGGCCCCTGATTCTCCCCCTCGCTTTGTGCAAGTTTGAGGATTGTTCGGTCTCCTTGTCTCGGATGATTCACTGTTTTTGCCTCTTGTCACTCTGCCTGTTGGGTCGGTGACACTTTCGACCTGGAGTCCTGCGAGTTTTGTTGTTTGCTGGTGATTCAGTTTACCCAAACTAATGATGATCTTCTGCGGGTACAGACGATGCAGGCGTTGCATGTGCTCTTTAGGTTATTGCAATGCACTAGGTTGGTTACTCACCAGGATGTCCCGAGGCTGCCCCGATTTGCTTAGAGGGACCTGGACTTGCGGGTGATGATTGCTTCGACTTTGGTTCCATCCACGCTCCCTCGTCCTTCCCCTACTGTGGTTTGTTCTGGTCCCCCCTCCTGCTTCCGTCCCCGAAACGTCTGAGGGTTTCGGAGTCGGGGCAGGGTTTAGATGATCTTGAGACTCTGTTAGTCTCGGGGGATGCCCCTTTCGGTGTGGCAACGGAGCCATTTGAGTCCAATCTCCCTACCGAAGCCTCTGGGTTTGACTAGTGGGCCCCCTTCCGTCCGACTTTCATGGCTGCACCGGCCTTTTCTTTTGAGACCGGTGTTTTGGGTGATGACTTGGCCCCAGGTCCTGCGGTGGAGGAGACTGGGGCGGGATAAGGGCAGACTTGGGGGGCCTTGGGCCCCGCTGGACCCCGTTTGGGTTTTTCTGCCCTCTGAGTGGGGCTTACTGTTACAAGGAGTGGGGTTTTCTTTTTCCTCCTCTGCATACGAGTTGGATTTGGAGTCTGCCCCTCCCCAGGTTCGGTTCTGTGCCCCCCCAGGGTGAGTCGGTTCCATCTTTCCGGAGGTTTTCGGCTTCCCGCATCCAACCTCCTGCAGTGCGGGCGGCCCATGCGGCTTACCTCTTGCGTGACCCGGAGTATGCCTCTATTATGGATCCGTCTTCATTCAGGTTTGGGTCTTTGTTTCCCTACTGGGTCTGTTACGAGGTTCCAGAGTCGTCCTGGCTGGCGATCTGTCCTGTGTTTGCTTTGGAGGCTTGGCATACCTTCTGTCATTCCCGTATGCTTGAGTGGCGCAAGGCTTCGACGATGGTTTAGGTTTTCTTGGGGGGCAAGTTTGAGCACCTCAATGAGTGCTTGTTTGCCCCTGCCCTTCCTCAGGATGTTGGCGTTGTGCAGCTCCCGTCTCTTTTGGCTGCGCGGGTTACTGAGGACTTAGGCGCTCATAGCCTCTTGGTTTCGGCCTTGTGTTTCTTTTCCCTCCTGTCTTCGGACTGGGTTTTGGAGGATGTGGGAACGCTGGGGGCTGTTCCTGGGTCCAGTGCCTTGGGCTCGGTGGCTCAC